CGGCCGTTCGTAGCTGATGCCATCATCGCCAACCCTCCCAGCTTTGCTCACATCCACTGCGCCCAGGCTTTAAGTATTCCCGTACATTTGATGTTCACTATGCCCTGGACCAGCACGAAAGCCTTTCCTCACCCCCTGGCAAATGTAACTGGTAGTGGCGACGAAGACCAAGGTTTCAGGAATTTTGTCTCTTACGCTGTGGTTAACTGGCTGACTTGGCAAGGGTAGGGAGTTCTACCAAAACAAAAAGTCTACTTGATGTATACTGACGCGATTAGGGTGGGCGATGTGATCAATCAATGGCGAAAAGAGCTTGGTTTGGACGAAGTAGCTATGTTCGAAGGGCCTCGTCTTGCAGAGATTCTGAAGATACCTTTCACATACTGCTGGTCCCCGGCCCTCATTCCCAGGCCGTCAGATTGGCCTTCTTATATCGGTGGGTCGTCACTATATCCGCCATATATAATGCAGTCTTTGCTAACAGCGTTCCCCTCCCCCTCCAAAGACGTCTGTGGTTTCTTTTTCCGGGATCCCCCGAGATATGATCCCCCGGCTGACTTGCTGGCCTTTCTTGCTGCTGGTCCACCCCCAATTTATATTGGGTTTGGTAGTATTGTATTGGAGGATCCAGAAAGCATCACCGGTATTGTCCTCAACGCTGTACGTGCAACAGGCGTACGGGCTATTGTTTCCAAAGGCTGGTCCAACTTAGGCGGGATGCACGAAGACAACATTTATTTCATCGGGGATTGCCCTCACGAATGGCTGTTTGACCGCGTGGCGGCTGTTGTGCATCATGGAGGTGCGGGCACGACTGCTTGCGGGTTACGAAAATCCAAGCCCACAATCGTTGTACCCTTCTTTGGAGAGTGAGTGGTTATGGAAGACTATATACCGCGGTTTCATCTTTTGCTAACAATCCCCATAGTCAGCCCTTTTGGGGAGATATGGTCGCTGCAGCGGGCGCTGGTCCTACTCCCATTCCACATAAAGAACTTACAGTCGATAGGCTGGCCGAAGGGATTCGATACTGCCTTAGCGAGCAAGCGCGCATGTCAGCTGTTGCTATAGCTGCCAAGATGCAGTCAGAAGCAGGTGTAAAGGCTGCAGTCGCCTCATTTCACCGGAACCTCCCACTTGAGTGTCTTCAGTGTGATCTAGATCCGGGTCTACCTGCAGTGTGGTCGCTCCGCCAAAAACGTAGGAAATTCAAGCTGTCAAAGATTGCCGCAGAGGTACTAATCGCCGACGGATCCATCGATGCAAAAAGCTTGACAATGTACGTACAAGATATTGACAAACTCGAGGATATTGCTTTCCGTTTGACTGTGTCCAGCTTCTGATGAACCTTTCTTATAGGCATGCCATCCGCCCAATCTTCATTGAAAATCGCCGATGGGATCCCGTCACGGGCGGCGCGTCTGCAGTGGTTGGAACAGCCACCGATGTCGCCGACTCTATTTTAGGAGCCTTCTACAAGCCTGCTCTGGAGTATCACAAGTTCAAGGAGGAGCGCGAAGATCAACTTACAAGCAGCAGGTCTAACCTTCCCGTCGAAAATCTTTCAGACAATCTATCTGTCGATACTGTTTCAACAAACCACGAGAAGGAGTCACGCGGTATAAGTATTTCCAGTAGCCACGACTCTACGGTGTCTGCGGATTCAGACGCGCAAAAGCGATCGGGTACTGGCAAAAGAAAGCTATTTGGTAGGATGGCAGCTGCGTCTGCCAAAAGTTTGGGCAGCGCTGGTCCTGCCATGATTAAGGGCACGACTGTTGACTTTCCCCTTGCTTTGGCTGAAGGGCTGCGCAACGTCCCTCGGCTGTATGGTGAAGAGCCTCGAGACCACGGTCCAGTTACTGACATCAAGAGTGGGTTTGCTGTTGCTGGGAAAGGATTTGCATGGGGAATGGCGGAGGCGGTTAGCGACATCGTTGTTAAGCCATACCAGGGTCTTCAAAAAGAGGGTGCGAAAGGTGCGATCAAAGGAGTTGGCAAAGGGGTAACAAATATGGCAGCTAAATCCGGCTCCGCTATGTTTGGCCTCATGGCATACTCTACTGCTGGTATCGCGCAGAGTTTACGGTCGTCAGGTCAGTCCCGGATTAGAAAGCTCATCGCCCAACAGCGCCATAGTGAGGGAGCGTGGTTACTGGAGAGCGGTCAGTATACAGCGACGGACAATATCATAGCCACTTTTCGGCAGAAACTGAAGAGTACTAAGGATGTCTGAGCGTGATATTTCGGTACCAGGGCTTCGTTGACACAGAGGTTGAGGGTTTTTATCGGTATCCGTTCTAGGAGCAGGACTTAATTACCACGTTTTCTTCGTTTTAACAACTCTTTAATAACTAGAAACAGTGAATGGATCATAGAACATGACAATTTACTTTAGGTAACTCTGTGGACCCTAAGCATAATGTACTTTAGGCTACCAGAATCAACACATTCGAAACTGTACCAGACACATTCGACAACTGGATGGCCAGTGAGGGCACAGAAAAATGTATTTGCCTGTGGCTGATCGAAAACGTCTAAATATCTAAACGAATACGAGTGGGTCTGGAGGCTACCAATCGTCATTGATCTACGCCTTGGCGTATAGTTCTATTCCTGATTCTTCTGCAACAGCGAGAAAAATAAAGGGGAAGAAAAGGCCCTAATTACCACTTCGTATTCGCACCCATGATTTCTTCTAAGAATAGAGCCGCAGGCGGACACGTAGGATCTGCTACTTGTGAATATCACTTAAACATTTTGGGACCTACTGCAGAGCAACTCAGTGCTTACACACAGCCGCTACTTCTTGTGTCGGCACAAATTCATTCATGATGGATATTCTACCGAGAACAGTCTTCAGGGTCAACAATGAAAGAACACGCCTCTGACAACTTTGCTCTCGACTCATGGCGGGACGCTTCTTATAATCCCGATGAATTACCAAGACACGAAGGAAAGCGCAGGTTACTCCTGATATACATCCATGGCTTTCTAGGTTCAGAGGACAGCTTTTGTAACTTCCCTAGGGAAGTCCACAATCTCCAGGCCTCATTGGCTCAAACCCATGTCACATACACCAAGATTTACCCTCGCTATAAAACCAGAGGACCTATACGTGTTGCCCGCAACGATGTCAGCCGATGGTAAGCAATTACCTTAACTGCAACACACTTAGCCCTCTATATTGAGAATGTTCTTTGCAGGTTATCCCCACACATGGCTCCAGATTTGGATGTCATACTGCTCGGTCACAGTATAGGAGGCCTCATCGCAGCAGACGTTGCACTTGCCGAATCTTACACAATCGCTGGCCATGTTCCGAACAGTAGAGTTGTTGGCCTGGTGGCCTTTGATACGCCTTTCCTTGGACTTCATCCGCGCGTCATTGCAACAGCAGCCGGCAGGGTACTTAGCCGGAAAGCAAAGGATGAGAGTCGGCACGCATCTCAGAGTAGCACAGACAGCCGAATAGCAAACGACGATCCGACGTTCGATCCAAACTTGACCAACGATGTCGACAGGACCCAGTGGACTGGGTGGGATGGAGCGCGCCATTTCCTTGCAAAACATTCGTGTCATTTATCTCGTTCTGCTCTTCAGTATGTTTTCTCATACTACGATCATGTCGGATGCCTGAATGACTACTTTGGGCTTGTCAGACGACACAAGAAACTCTGCCGTTGGGCAAAACGCGATGAATCTGGTAGGCAGGTCCGCTTTGTTAATTATTACACGACTGCCTGCCCACACAGCGAAACCACAAACGGTAATGATCACGGAAACAAGATGGCCTTGAGGCACAGAGCGTCGCAAATACATGAGTATCGCGTAGAAGACGGAGTCTCTGCGTTGTTGTTGCCTGATATTCGAGCTGATATACAAGGAAAGGTGGCAGACAACCGCTCGTCTGAGTCACTGCTCGACACGAAACTTTCTTCCACCAGGGTGGATATACGGTCATCGTCAAGCTCATGCAATTTAGGCGAGCAAAGAATTAAGCCCGAGGGATCTCATCTCAGACCATCGGGGCGACTGTTCTGCTATGTTCCAGAAACAGCGCGCAAAGAGCAGCTCTGGGTTCCGCTACGAATGGAGGGCATGGATGAAATCGCTGCCCACCAGTCCATGTTTCTTCCTCTGGGCACATATTACGACCGATTGGTTGCCGATACTGTGGCAAAGATTGAAAGTTGGCTGATATGAGTATATGTTCACTGGAGTGTATGTATAAGTATCGATTGCCACCCTTTGAGTTTGTCAAATGATAGATAGTAGTATACGAGTTCATAGAGATACTATATATTGAGCTCTTTCATATGAGTTCTTGAGCTTTGTCCAAGTACTCGTGGCTATATGACAGAACAACCATTTGAATGAGAAACTTGTAGTTCTAAAATTACTATTAAATCAATAGACAAATTCTTCACCTTGGTTAAGGAGCGAATGGTGAAAGGAACACCCAGCATGGTCATAAGTCACGTGACTGAAAACCAGCGTGTGGCCAAGAGGTGGAAATAAGAAAAAAGAAATAAAAACCCCCAAGTGATAATCTGGAAAATAATAACATAATAATAAACGATACTATTATAATTAAATTTTGGATCAGTTTCCCAACTTTATATCATTGGTAGCCTTGGTAGCTATTTTGACATAGTAGCTGCCTAAAATAGTGTATTACACAGGTGAAAGGATCTGACCTCCTATAAGCTTATAAGACTAGTCTGTTACCAAATAATCGAAGAATCCACTGCCTGAAGCGCACCAGGTTGAAACCGGACAACAGGACACTGGTACTTTGTGGATGAGAGAGTGACGATTAGGCAAGCAATCAAAGTTTGGTCCACAGTCTCGGCCTCCGCGGGATCCGCCAGTCTCACACTTCCTGCAACCAACTCGCCCTCACCGTCACCAACACCCACAATCTCTGCAGTCTGCTCTGCTGGAAGAAGTAATAAGCCGCGCTATCGGGGACCGGTTATCTTGGAAAGCTTGACTATATGGAGCCCGAGGGACCCGAGAGTGAGAAGGAGCCTGTTGTTAGGCGTGCGGTAAGTTCGAGTGGCACTGCATACCCATACTTACAGTCCGCAATTGCTGACGGATGCCAGTGCGATCAATGCCGCCTCCGAAAGGTATGCAACTGCTGCAATCTATCAATAATGAAGTGGGTTATCCCATTTAGGAAGGACACTCACATATTTTGGTGCCACCATTAGATACGCTGTGACAAGCGGTCTCCCTGCTCCAATTGCCGCAGCTCCCAAATCATCTGCCGCTCAACTGGTGCTGGTCAGAAGCCCCCAGAGCCAAAGAAACGCGTCCTTATCTCGAGCCAGTAGTACGTGCAATGAGTGGCTGTTTATCGGGTTTAATTGACATGGTGTAGTGAGAGAAAGATTGACCTCATCGAAGAACGTCTGGGCAACATCGAGCGTACCCTTTTGGAACTCAGGGCGCACGCCAAGGGCCCTTCGGAGCAATGCCATCATTCTACTCCACTGTCAAGCCAGCTGAGTCCAGCTACTACGACCAATTATACTAGTGCTGCTGCAACTCTGGATCAGCACGAGTCTACTCCTGCTTTTGAGGGCAATTCCTCTCTCGCTGCCCATTCTGCTTACGCCAAAGAATTTCTAGAGACGATCGTCTCCCGCAATACACTCCAGATGTCGACTCCCAAAATAAGCACCGCACTGGCCTCCTTGAAGCAGATCGTTGATATGCAGGACCACCAGGCACAATCTCCCTCCCGCCAAGTGCGGTTCCCGAATCAGAGGGCGATTCCAGGCTCGAAAATTGCGAGAGCTTACCATGCCTCCAGCGCCGATTGTTCTGGCACTTTTGCGCAAATGTCAAGGTAGTCCCTGAGACGTACTATGTTCTTCCTGTAGCTTCCTAACATACTACCAGAGCAACCGAGTATCCTGCAAGCATACCTGCCTTTCCTGTCGCCCCGACGGCTAGTTGAGAAATGCCGCCAGATTTACTTCTCCACGGAGGAATACTCCGATGCTACTTTTATTATAGTTAACGGCGCTCTTCTCTATCTAATCAGCGACGTCGTCGCTATCACAAAGGATTCACAGACTAGAGAGGAGTACGATAAATACCTGAAGCTGTGTCTGGTCAACCTTGAAACTGCTTTGGGGAGCTTGAGCCTTCTGATGCCTGCGAATGATGAAAATATCGAAGCACTCGCACTAGGAGTAAGCTTTGTCGCCGCTGGAGTAATTTACAGTCTGCTGACAGGGTCAAGGCCGTCTACGCAATCGAGATGTCTAAGCCGTCGTTCGCAATGACGTTAACTTCAGCGGCCTTCCGCTTATGCCAAACACTTGGATACCATCGATCAAATCCTTCAGATAGCGGCAGTAAGCCCTCTCTTGGAAATACACTATTCTGGACGGTCTACGTTTTGGACAAGGCGGTTTCCCTGCGTCTGGGACGCGCGTCAACCATACAGGATTACGACGTCACCTCTCTAGTAAACATCGATACGACCGGGCTAGATGAGCCATTCGACAAAATATACTTGCTGTGGGTCCGATTTGCGACTATACAGGGAAAAGTGTACGAATTACTTTACAGCCCTGCAGCTTTGGCGCGGCCGGAAAGTGAGCGGGTCGCTCATGCTCGCCAGCTGGCCTCTGAGATGCAGCAAGTGGTTATGGAGCCATTCGAGGTATGCACTGTTGGTGACATAGCCAGTGCTACTCTAACATGGTCTAGGGTATTCATTTCGATAAACAACGATCCCAAGTCGATCAGATCTTCTTCAAAGCAGACAAGGTCGCCCGCTTGTCGGTTCAAACGTTGATATACCGCGCCATTCCTCCGCAAGGCACACAGGGCACATTCATCCACGAATGCATACAAACGGCCAGATCCGCTCTCGAAGTGCATCAGGACTGTATGGCAGAAGTAAAGGAGATGACAGAGCATATCAAGGCCGCGTACTTCCACTGGTAAGTTGCAGATGCTTGGCACACCGCTATGTCTCTAATATACCCTTCAGGACCATTCTCTATGCACCTTTTGTTCCATTTATAGTGATCTTCTGCCACGCGATTGCTTTGTCATCCTGGGATGATCTCGCCCGACTTGAAGACTTTGTTGCTTCCCTGCAGCCCAACTGTTTTCTCTCGGAAGCTATTTCAAAGTTGTATCAGCTATGCCATGTTCTCAGCAATGTGGCTAGACTGTACATTGAGGCGAAAGAACAAGTGCAGGTCAAGGACGATCAAGACCTGGCATCTGTCGGTCAGGAATTTGATGTATATCTCAGTGCGCTTGGGTTAGCACCTATGGCGGCGGACGAGAATTATGGCGCGTGGGCATCCGCATCTGTTCCTGCTGGGTCAGCGCCCGGAGATGCACGAGGCGCGATGGAAGGCCAATATTCTGGACCAATACCTCAGACCAGCCAACTGGGGAACTGGTTCTCGGGAAACCAGCACATGATGGGCCTGTTAGAAGAGGATATTTCTCTATTTGATCCTTCTTCTTGGACTTAACAGGTGAGTACAGCTACAACCAAAACTCCCTACACTACGCGGCCAAGAAGTAGGATTGTGTGCTGGTTTCGATTTGCTGAGAGCATTCGCTATGTCGACATACAGGACGTTGCCATCATGCAATTCTGCATATCAATCGTCGCAAATGACCGGTCTCACCACTCAGATACACTTGCCACCATCAATGACCATCTCCGTCCCGTTGATAAACCGTCCCTCATCACTGGCCAGATACAGACAAATGTTCGCGATGTCATCCCCCTCCGTGAGACGACCCAACGGCACATTTCCGATGAACTTCTCCCAGTTCTCCGGCGTATTTTCCATTCCTGTGAATACGGAGAACAACGGCGTAGCCGACAGAAGAGGAGCGACCGAATTGACACGGATATTATGCGGTCCATACTCAGCCGCCAGACCCTTGGTAGCCTAATATGAACATATCATCAGCATCTAATGCACTCCACATCGAAAGGGTAAAGGATAACATCAATCCACTCACATTCGAAACCGCCCCCTTGGACGCATTATACCACACCAACCCAGGCCGTGGTCTCGACGCTCCCGTCGACGAGATATTAATGATCGACCCGCCCTGGCCCTGCTCAATCACCCGAGCCACGAATGCCTGACTGCCCAGATAAACTCCCTTGACGTTCACATTGAACACTCGCTCCCATTCGTCCTCGGTGACTTCCAGTGTCGGCTAAACCACCATGCATAAGCCTCACTTCTCAAACTACACATCAAGACACGAAAAAACTAGGGAAGAAATGAAATACCTTATTCCGATACGTTGTCCCCGCATTATTCACCAATACGTCCAACTTCCCAAACAACGACACCGCCTTCTCCACAATGCGCTTCCAATCCGCTGCCTTGGTTACGTCCATCTGCTCAAACACGATATTCTCCGGATCGGCGGCGGCCGTCTTTTGGCCCCCTTCGGCACTGATATCCGCCACGATGACCTTGGCTCCTTCGGAGGCGAAGCGCTGCGCGATGGCAGCGCCGAAACCGGATCCGGCTCCTACATTCTCATCTCGTTAGTATGGGCGGGGAGGAGAGTGAGTATATTGGAGTATATAATTCGAATACAGTGAATAAATAGTAGATAGAATATATAGCCGAACGAAAAGATGTACGAGTGGGATTAGGCACAAAAAGAAATTAAGATTGATTGAAGGCATGAAACTAACCAGTAACAATAGCAACCTTCCCTTCCAGTCGGGCGCCCGGAGCGAGTTGTTTCGTCATTTCGATAAGTTATGTATAGTATACTCTTTCAATTAAGCAGTAGTAGAATACCGGTAGCAAGTGTAACTTAAATTATTATTCGAAGATTCCTTGAAGAGGTAGTTGGGTTGGTAGAGATGGATGGACGATCAACTCTCTTTTCTTATATACCTTAAATACGATACTTTGTGTCACAGCTCAAGAGAAAGGAGGAGGGAGAGAGAGAGAGTATGACATGATGCAGGCAAGGCAGCCCAGCTTACCCCGCTTCTTCTCTTAGTTGGAGATAAGGGAAAAGGTCGGTTTCGGCTCTTCCATGGGTTACTTACTTACTTAGTATGATGTGCAAGGGGGAGGGGTTATGGATCATCAAAGAGGGGTTCTGACTTAGTTGTTATATTATTGGTTGGGTTGGTGGCGTGCGGAGAAAGGGATTAACCTAATACTTTTAGTAGTTGGGAGTATGTCGCTTTGGAAGAACGGAATGAAGTCCGGGCGGGTTGGATGGCTGGATACCGAGGATCTACTATGTACAGGGATTTAGTCAGTTGTTTCATGTTGTACTTACTTACTTGTCTTGGTTGTTTAGAGAAGGGAGGATTTTGTGGCAGTTCTGTTTATTTATCATGCTCTTCTCAATCCGAACTGTCTCAATATCCCAAATGAGAGAAATGGCTGTACAATCGAGAAAACTAAATGCAACGTATGTACACAAATTGAAGTAAGTAACATATTTACTGATTATCCTCAAACTTAATCTCCCTCTGCTTCTTCAAGGTCGGTTCGTCTTCCTCTCTCGTCGTCGTTGCTTGCTTCGTCTGGATATCAACATACCGAATTAGGCTTTCGCAGAGACGATTCAGAACCCATTCTGGCTCTGTCTGCGTGGCTAGCATCGGACTTGTTTTACCGATCCAATCCCAGTTCAGGATCCCGTATTCGTCTTCTTGAACTTCCACGTCGTCTGGACTGAGGTCCGTGAAGCGAATGAGTCGGGTAAATTCCACCCACTCTTCGTATGTATATCGTTTTCGCTCGCCCTCTACAACGTCTCGGGTAGTTCGCTGGATCGCGTACGCAAGTTGCTGTGCGAAGTGAAGGGTTGATGCTGATCCTGATCCCGTGCCTGAAGACGTGTCGGGCTCGCTGGCGAGTTCTTCGAGCGATCTTGTGGGTGGATGGTCGAGGCTGTGCTGGTGCTCTGCTCGTGTGCCTCTTTCCTCGTTGTCTAATCCGACGTGGAAGCCTTCATTTACTCGTCTGTTTTCTTCGCGATGCTGGAGAGTGGTGTAGAGGATTGGGAATTTACGGAGGAAGTCTCGGTATTTTCCTGACTGTGGGAGGACGGTCCAGTCGGCAAAAACGCTGGTGGCGTGCTTGAATGCGACAACGATTGTGTCGCTCATTTCTGATATGAGGACTGTCATTGTTGGGACAGATAGAAGGGACCAGACAATGAAGAAGGGTCTCGCTGCGTTGGTGGTCGGTGTGATGTCTCCGTATCCGATCGTGAGGAGAGAGCAAAAGCCGAAGTATAGGGCTTGGAAGTAGGTGATTTCTTCTAAGCGCCAAAAGACCACGGCACCGCACGTCCAGACGATACCAAACATGATGAGACTCAGGATTAGATTGTACCACCGCCGGAAGAGGACGGTTTCGTATTGAATTGCTCGCATGGCGTTGAAGCGGTCTTTTTCTTCCCTCATGATGAGGAGCTTCGGTCGGCCTACCAATGCGAGTGCATTGATGGCACGGCGTCCACCAGGCCTGGGTGGACGCTTGGATTTAAATTTAAGATGTGGGTCCTCTGCGCCTGGATCTAGTGAGATGGAGTGCTCGATGGTTGCTTGTCGTTTTCTTTCAACGTGCTTTCGCACGACATTGTCGTATTGCAGTTCCCGAGCAAAGTCATGGATACTTCCCACCACGAGACCGAGGATGATTATGCCCATAACTGCATAGGGGAATACAAGGCCCTTTCCGACCGAGCTTGGAGGAGTGATATCGCCGTAACCTAATGTCAAAATCGTCACGTCTGAGAAATAGAGTGCATCCGCGAACGATATATCATCAATGACGGCATGGAAGATAGCGGCTCCTATGAGTAGCCACACCACGAATGCAGTGGTTTGCAATATCAACGTTCTCTGGCCGTCAGTAAGGGCAAAATACTGCGGATAATGCCCCAGAACGTATCCCAGCATGTTGACCAACAGGATAACAGTGAGGAAGAAGTACAGAGCTGCTGCGATGACTGCACTCCAGTAGGCCTGAGAGTAGGTCTGGTCGGGTGGTATTGGACCATCGTAAATATTCGTAGCAACAGTAATGCCGACCAGAATCGATGTGGCCAGGCACCAGAGGATGATAGATGCGGGCAAAGCTATGATGTATCGCAAACTGCGCGTAAAATTGAATAGGAGAAAAACGTTGCCTGCAATTCCACACGCGAGTGATGTGGCATTAAGAGCTATGCACCTGGTCGGGTTAGCACTATCCGTGAATATCTCGGCGATCTGCGCTCACCATCGAGGGTCACTGATGAATTCCTGCGCCGGCGCGCCTGATGATGCGGTCCCGCCAAGTAGCTTACTTTTCCATGGCATCACAAGAGCAACAATAGACATGAGATTGGCGAGAGGGGCCGTGGTAGCTGCTATCAGTGGAATAGCAGTAGATGCGATCCACCAATCTTGTGGCCCATCATCTTCCGCCGGCCTTGGATTGAAGTGACTTCGGAATCTCGTGCAAAGCGACCTCTTTTCCGTGCTCCGTGGTCGATCTTTATCATCGTTCATATCTCGATTATAGCGACGTAGCGCTAACAAAGTCGAAGGAAGAGCCTCTGCTATAACCTAAAAATTAGTAAGGTTAAAGGTTCGAGATAAGACATATGGCCTAGTAGATCATTCCCGGGAGTAAGTGTATAATGACTGTCACGAAAAAGATAGGTATATCGGTTTAAAGTCGTCCATGAGTTGGAAAAAAGCCCCGTAGGACAAAGAGCCTACTAGAATCCAGCTAAATGGCGAGCATCACCAGCGAAGCCAGAGGTTCCTTGTTTTGCAATGGCGGCAACCCGCGGCAGACAATCTCGTGACGGGCCAACCCCGGGAATGTGCCCTACTGACTCCATCTGGACATGACGTCATGGTTTATTTCCCCAGGTACCAGGGAATCTTCATAGTTCCTCACGACCCAGAGTTCATTAATTAGCAAATTAAAGGAAACATACAAGCTTTTGTCAGTTATGTGGGTCCGTCAGCACCTTACTATCACTACCCTGCGATGCTTGTCACAATGTTCGAGCACGTCAACAGTCACTATGTTGCTTCCTGGCGTTAAAACACACACTGACATAAACTGACATCAAGGCCAATATGAGGTCCGGAAGGCATATGATACACTATATTAATATATATACGTTAAGAAAACCATGTCGATTCGTCGAGATGTAAGCCGGTTAAGGCACCACATAATGATATCCCCTGGAACGCCGCCATACCGCCAAAAGACTTTTACCTGTCATTCATGCTGACTATATCGCGATGTCACAGTAGTTGACACGTCCACTGTTCTCATGATCCCCATGGTCTCTGTGCCTTGTCGCTCTGAATCGCCACGGACCGTGGTCTCGATCCTTGGCGCTTCCTGAGCGTTGGGGATGAGAATGTCCTGATCCGATCCAACCTCCGTGAAAGTCATCTGGTTTTTGCTCCTATCTGCGCGACTGGGACGACTATTCTTGACCTTGCTCAATTCGTACTGTGATGTCTGGGTGTTCTTGTGACTGGAGTACTTGTTGCTCGTATACTCGCGGTGGGTACGGGAGATTAGAGCTGAAAGGGCGGGCAGGCAGGCACAAATGACCCCGATCGTTATCTCGGCATTCCTGACCACGAAAGAATCGTCAGCTAGGTGATACAATGACCTCCAGTTAGACAGCAGTCGTACCCGAACATGTTAATGCGCATGAAAGCCAGTGTTCCGTCCTGTGATTGCCCCGTCAAAATAATGAGAATCAGACGGACAATACTCGATGCACACGCTAGTCCTCCAGCTCCCAATACGACCATGACTCGCAATTTCTTCTTCAGCGGCAATTGCAACCCCACCGTCAAAGGTAGGGGAAGAATGAGGATAGCCATATCGCTAACGACACTGACAACTGCATCGGCAAGAATGATTGATGTCTGGTCCAGGCATGACCCCGGTGTGTCAGGGGCCCAGAACCTCGCTATTGGGTCGCAAATTCGGATCTTGACAATGACCGCAGGAATATAGTAGGCGAGCATAATACCCAGGAAGACGTAGATAAATATGACGGTTTTTCGGTAAGGGCTGAAGACTCGTGCAATGATCCAAAGTAGGGACAACTTTGTTAAATATGCGGTCGGACCATACATGACCATTGTCACATACACCGTCTGAGCAAGTTAACACAGCAGATTGGAGACTGTAAGAGACTCATTCAACTTACCTTTTCGAAGGGTATGCGATGTGATACAGGCACATCAGCGTAGTGCACTCCGCCGCCGAAATGTCCCACTGAACTAATACTCAGCAAATCTCCGAAGAGGGCTTCTTTTTTATACTTACTGATCAAAGCAATGATCGAATAACACACACCAAGAAACTGCCAGTCAAATAGTTGAGCATCTCATTCAGTGGGTTGGCATCAATGTCCTTACCCAAGCACCTAGACAGGTCCCTGTGTGTTCGTTAGCACTGGCCATCTGGAGCTGTTCATTAGGCCCTTACAATCCTCTCTTCGAAAGCCGTCCATGATGACAAGGCGGGTAAAACATCGCAGAGCAAAGAAAATCGTCATCGTAGTGATGCATAGTATCTGTGTCGCCAGATTCCATTTCTGGACCGACCTGTCCACATGTCCATCTGTTGTGCCGGTGCCATCACGTCCAAGCAGCTCCGCGAGCATCGTGACGAACGGGTAGGCTTCACGGAAGCGCTTCCAAAGTGCTGGAAATAAATGAATGTCCCAGCAGTCTGGGTTTAAGTCACATTTAAGACTATATCACAACCAAATTTGGGAACTCGGGGTCATGACACATCAATCAAGGTCGATACATCGCGAGCAATAAAGCTCTCCGATTCGCCCTTTGCCACAAGCACCAAGCCTTTATTTTTGATTTAGACGGAGGCCGTCACCCCTGAAGGCGATAGCGCAGGCCCTAAGGATTTTTACTCCTTTGCAGGGCATCCTGCGACAGGGTTCCGGGCTAGCCAAAGACAGGGGTGCAATGAAGGAAGTACGACTAGTCAATGGGCTTTCCTTTTTCCGAATCAAGAGGCCAGTTGTGGGCTAGTAGTGGCCCGGTAAGTGGGCGATCTCGCCAAGTGCTCGAGAATATTGCCTGATTGCTAACTAGCATTGGAAAGATCTTTTTCGACTCCGTAATCCGTCGGTGTTCGGTGCAGGAAATTGATTGCTCGAAATTTTCAGTGCTTCGGACCCATTCCATTCTAGACTGGCGATGACTAAATAAAATGTCACTCTGGGACAGGAGTGTGTGTACTTTGTACTGCGAGTAACTATGCACGAATCTGCATGGTCAATGTCAAAGCTCACAGTCCCCTCCCCAGTCTCACATGTTGCACATGCGTTGCGATGAAGCGGGAACCCATGCGTGCATTCGGCTAAAGACTTTGGGGGATAAAATTTTGATCAACAGATGATCAGGCTTCGCCTTTTCCAATGGCTTGTTCTAGTGTTGGAATGTAATGAAGCCAACACAATTATTGAAGCAAATGGGTAAGGGCGACTGGGGGAGGGGGTGGGATGAAAGAGAGATGTCGATCGAAAGCCACGCCAGATTCTGATCCATCCCCTTCGCGGGTCAGAGATGCACATCAGCTGTCGCTTACGGTCTCATACCGTATGGGTACTCCGTAAGGAAGTCAAGGGTGGAATGACTGGGGCGGGCGCGCGCCGGGCGGCAAGTGGGGCCCGCCAGCCGTCTAAGAGAACTTAATGCCCGTGCGGATGCAACGCTGTTACCAATGGTGGGCCTCGCGGACGTCAATCTTGCCTTACCCGGCATAGCTGGGGTCTCGTCTTAGATTATTGTGAAACTAAGACAACTGGTCGTCTCGATGGCTCGACGAAAAGTAGAAAAAAAAACAAAAAAACAAAAGAAGCGAGACCAGAAGTACGATGCAGGAGCTGGCAAGAGCTGAGGGGTCCTGAGCAAATTTTTTCGGACGAACCCACCACGCAGTCAAGCAATGCTTTTGTCTGGCTGATTACAGTTACACATTTGCTCCCCGGTTAGCAAACGTTTCTCCGAGATATGAAAGGCAAACGCACTATAGACTCGAAGTGGAGTCATGCGTTTCTTTGTGTTCCCTTCCACGCGTGGCAGAATGTCCCGGACTTTCTGTTTTCCATGTGACCCTGGTGATGACCATAGATTATCCCCCGTCTTGGCCAGCCTTATCAGCATATGCTAATATGCCATTAAGTTTGCGCGGCAAAGTACTCCATGGTCAGAATTCCTTTGATTCAAATATCTTAATGAACTGATTTGGAATCGGTATTTCCACGAGCAGATACCTACCTCTGCATGTCGTGGTTCTTTATCCTCTGAAATCCGCCTGGTTGCAGATTGGGTCTAGTTTCCGCGTCATGTCCTAGTGACCATCGCTGATCCCAATGGCCCTTGGAAAAGTGGATGGTTTCATACTATAGCTCTACTATCTAAGCCCGATGTCCGAATAAGTATGTATGTGCTTTCTTATTCATTCTCGTCGCTTATTCTAAGCGCACGTACTACACTTCTTCCCCACTTCCATTTGTCCCTCCTTATTTCCATCTCGGCTATGTGTAGCCTTTGAAGGTCTCCACCTCCAGAATCTCGTCACGAATATGGGAGAAGTTAAATTCGGAAAATATGATCCGCTTTTAGCGTCTGTGGCTGTCGTGTACAAGCGGTTTGGCCCCAAACTAAAGCGCTGTCGGTAGATCCGGCTTAGAAAATAGCCATGATATTGGGGGGTGAGGATACCCCTCCGGGCATGTTCAGGGGGATAGATGCCACAAAGAAAGACCAGCGCTGTAGATCTTGGCAAATTTGAGACAGTGCTTCTAGATCAAACAGCTCTCCTGGCAAAGGTAAATCCGATCAGTATATTATTGGAGATCGCTTCATATTGCATGCAATTGATTTCAACGTACCGATTGGCATACCCCAACCCGCAAGTACATACTCATGCAGGAACAAATCAGGCGACTGGGGTGGGTAAACCTGTTACATATCAGTCACATATACTTGGATAGTGATGCATTGCATAAGATTGCAGTGGATGATATACCTCCCAACTAATTGCATCGCTGGCAATCGCGGCGAACCCGGTATCCCAAAGCCATCGCAGCACATCTGTAGTTGCCTCGACACCTGCATGCTCCGGGCTCGGATTGTCCGAGTATTGCCGCTTCTGGTCATCTGTCATGGCGGTATCCCATTCCTTCGTCACTCCAATGCGAACGAAAAGTATATCGCCCTTTTGAAAAGTAATGCCACATTCCTTGGCAATTTCCTGGATATCTGAAAGCCGGATTTGATGTGTCGAAAATGTGCTGTATCTGATTCCCCTCTTTTCTGCCCATGTGGCATAATCGATCAATACCCCGCGACCTGTCGAACAGCATGCGACACCGCAATTAGTCGCTTACTCCGAAAGGTCAATCAATAAATAGGTCAAATTCCTACCAGCAATCCCTTCTTTGGCCCAATGCTGCAAGCCGATCCGATTGTTCGTTCGATCATTGATTTCCTTGACGGTTGCGCCACCATAGAACACACGCTCGGTTTGGCCCTCAACCGTCTGCGAAAAATGCCGCAGACCATCCCACTGGCTACTTTGTTCTATTCTAGAGTTAGCCCAGGGGGGTGGTACCGCGGGCGAAAGGAAGAACAGTGCATAACCTACGAGGATTCATGGTATAGACATCGTCGAAAGCCACACCGCCCAAAAGCGGAATGATCTGATGGTGGCATGGTTGACGGTTCAGATTAGGATAATCCAACTTGGTCAGTTCCCAGCCCATCGTCACCCGTCGCCCGGTCTTGATTTCAGTGGCAGCAGCATTGGCCACCACCTCGGGGGTCAAGATCGCAAGTTTTCCTAATCCTTCTTCGCGGCTTCCTGGCTTGCCAACCCATACTTGCTTTGGGTTCGGCAGCTCATCAAATGGTACATCGAAAGGCGACGGACTAGGATTACCCGACGACATGTTTTTGAGAAAGATAGCTAGGCCGATCGAAGGAAGAAGAAAACACCACAGCACGTTGAAAGACGGAAACTAGGGATAGTTGGACAGCCAGCTGAAACTCGTGTACGCATAGGTTTTAATATCTCACTGCACGATGGTTCAACTACCTGTTGTAGCCTTTGGAGGGTGGTTCTATCGCTTCCAATAGTTACTAATCCAAATGAGAAGGGTGGGGATGAAAGACAGACCGGTTCGGCGCCGTTGTCATAGCGGATGCACTAGATCCAGAAAATCAATAGACGGATCGCAGCGGCGGGCTACCAGGCCCGCATCTGCTATAGTACTTGCTCCGCACCTAACTTTGAATCCCCTGTTCGGATTTACTCGCTATACATAAGACGTAATACTGAGGATTGCGCCAGTTTAACACGGTCCCGCCGAGTCCACAACAAGCGAGGCCACAGAAGAGGGCTCGGGGTTACTAAATCGGCCAAACTGTCTGTCTATTATGCCTGAGCGTGCATACGCACCAGGTTACAAAGCAAACGTGACCTGAACCATACTCACCCAAGGTAGATCTTAATTGACATCTTATGGATCATCTTATCGGTTGAGAGCCATGAACCACCGAGCGAGTCAGGACTGACAAGTGACAACGGATCTCAGGATAGTGACGGCAGCCACAATAAACCCAAACGGAAAGCCAGTCTGTCAAGGTGGAGATGGAGAGAACCTTAAGTCCTTTCAGTTGCCTATTCGGAAGTAGTAAGTAATCCAGAGGAAGCGGCAGACCGCAGAACATACATACATACAGGCATAACGGTAACGTACGTACATGCAGTAACAGCACGGGACTCCCCAAAGGAGCTTAGTGTCAGTTCCCTTCCTGGCAGAAGACCGTTTTTTGTCAGGCTAGCGAGGCAACGACAACTAATGCATCGTCTTTCTTCCCTCCCCTGGTCTAGAGCAAATCAATTGTCGAATGGCAACCATCGGCCATGCTTTCTTCAACCAGGTGATTGAGGAGCCGTTATGTCGCTGGTCGGTGGTTGGTGGATCCACTCCTTCATCGTCAACTCCACCCGGCCGGTGCTCTACGCAAAGGGAAGTATACTCAAGGCAAAGCTAGAAAGCTCCCACGAGCTAAGCAACTTAGTGCAGGATGTGTGGGAGTCTCTGTGGTGCCGTTTTCTTTGCCCGCTTACCCTGCGTCGAGAGATATATCCCAGGCTGATGTGCCGGCATCTTGACTGTCTGTCTGTCATACACGGTTGTTTACATTTTCATTTCTGCCCGGCATTCCTTCCGCCTCTTTTCCCTCACCCCCCGGTCCCAGACCTGTTCCTTTCGGGTAGTACATGATCAGAAATTGAGCCGCGTGGCTTGCTCAATATTGTTTCATCTGATGCAACGTGCGGGTTGACCTGTTTGCTCTTCTTTCTGGTTATATTGCTTTTTCTCTTCCCACTTTGGCTTCGATCTACATCCATTGCTGAGATCTAGCTCGCCATGGGGACGTTTGGGTCTCAGACCAGTACCTATAATAGGCTGGTCACTATTTTTGTTGCCGTTGGTTCGATGGTGAGTACTCGGAAATTCCTCTTCTGCAATCGCACCTAATTTTCCTTTTCTCCAATTTCAACAGACATACGGCTACTGCTCCTCGATTATCTCAAGCACTATCGGTCAGCCAGGATGGTACACATACTTCAATCTTCCTCAAGAGGGCGAACCTGGATATGCCTCGATAACAACTCCTGCTATATCTACAGCGAATGGCGTTTTCAGTGCTGGAGGTGCGGTTGGGACGCTCTTCATAATGTGGTCGTGTGATTATTTTGGTCGGAAATTTAATATCCAGTTGGGGGCTTTCTTCTCGATGTTCGGAGGAGCACTTCAAGGAGGTTCTAATTCACTCAAGTGCGCCTTGATTTACCCCCCATGTACGCACATGCCCTTGGCTAACTCTACCTAGAATGTTTCAAGCTGGGCGATTTGTCTGCGGCCTCGGAATTGGTATCCTCGTGACTGTGTGTCCAATGTACCTTTCCGAGATGTCTAGTGCCTTCCGTCGCGGTTGGCTTGTTGGCCATCATGCCATCTTTCTGGTCTTCGGTTACATGCTTGCCGGCTGGGTAGGCTATGCCTGCTACTTTGCTGAAAATAAGATTGGTACATTTGGCTGGCGGTTCCCACTTTGTCTCCAGTGCTTGCCACCTCTCGTCCTGCTGCTAGGATCGCCTTGGCTCCCCCGCTCTCCACGCTGGCTGATCAGTAAGGGAAAGCATGAGGAAGCTAAACTAGTCCTTGAGCGACTTCGCAGATCCCCAGACGATCCGAACAACCTGGTTGCTAAGGAAGAATACTTCCAAACTGCCGAGCAGATTCGTCTTGAAGGGGAGCGATTGTCTGCCTATGGAAATGTGTGGAACGCAGTTTTGAAGAAGAAGTCGTACAGGAAGCGCATGGCTATCGGCTTTCTGACCCAATGGGGAGCTGAATTCGGCGGACCGCTGATCATCGTAAGTGCTTCTCTACTGAGATCAAGCTGAGATCCGATAGCTTACATCGCGCAGAACAACTATGCCGTTCTTCTATACACCAACCTTGGAGAAACGGGCGGAATGCCACTGCTCCTGAGTGCGGTCTGGCTGACAACTGCTGGTAAGATGAAAACTAGTCAGACTATGAGGGTAAAGACTAATCGGGGTTATTTTAGGTGTCATTTACAACCCTCTTGGTGCCTGGCTTCACGACAAGGTAAACTCTCGTCGGAAAATGTACATTACAGGGTTTGTCGGAATTATTGTTACCACTTCTTGCTTGGCTGCCATGACCGCACAATACGCGGGCACCACGAACCGGGTTGGTAACGGATTCGGCATTCTGTTTATGTATCTTTACCTTGCATTCCAAGGGTAAGCATATCTGCTCATAATAAGCTTTCAGACGACTAATCTCTCGACAGGACTTTCTGTGATACGACGATGTATCTCTATGTGTCTGAGATTTTTCCTACTGAGATTCGCCCAATTGGCATGGGCTTCTCCCTATTTGGACAGTTCGCCGGTAAGAAACTGTCCTGATGCAAAGCCGTCCTAGCTACTAACGCATGACAGCGACTCTTATCCTGCTTCAGACCGCGCCGATGGGTTTCGACAACGTTGGCTGGAAGTATTATCTGGTTATCATCTGCTGGTCCGCATTTTTCATTCCAGGTGAGCTAGCTACGTCTTTGCAATCTTGGTATTCGTTTTAATAGGTGGCCTCTAGTGATCTACTTTTTCTTCCCGGAGACTGCTCGGTTGACATTGGAGGAAATTGCACAGAACTTCGGCGAGGAAGTTGCGGTCCATCTAACTGACGCGACGGACGAGGAGAAAGCCCGCCTCGAACGTGACCTTGAGAAACGGCCTGATAGTGTGCCGCAATCCAACTCAAGTAAGGACAACGAGACTGAGGCTGTTTAGCCTACTTCACATTCGACGGGGGAATGGCTCTGTACAAGAGACTGCCAAGAGCCTATTTAAGAAGGTACGCCAGCTGCCGTCTTATACCAGACAATGGCTTACAGTGTATAGAGCAATAATAGTATGTGACAACCACATACAAGGCCCAAGGACTGCTTAGCGTTGCGAGATTCAAAGTCTGACCACGCTAGTAAGCTGGTTTTGATGCAATTGATGATACCCTGGTTATCAAAGAAATGATATTGGTGGCAGGCAGGAGCATATATAACTACTATGTTTAACCCCTGACATATGAAGTCCTGATCTTGTTTGGAAAGTGCAGACATAATGGCGATGATCAGGGACACGAAATTACTATTCTATGTTGACCTACTCTAATTATAGTGACTGAGAATCAATGTGTGTTCAGTGGATCACCTTCCTTTGGTGTCATCTCAAAGAGAAGCCGCTACATGAAGTAATATGGGAGCCTGGATGCTACCAACACCGCCGGGATAATACGTGTCCGTGCCAGGCAGTTGGGAAGGCAACACTGGGATGGGGCGTTTCAGCCTGGCGGAGGCCAATTGGCATTACGTGAGCATGGATGAGAGGCCCCGGCGAACGAGCTGGGGCCCAGGCGGTAAAGTAGCACCATCAACAGCAATAGCAGGCTGCAGAGAGCCAGATAGATAAGGGGTGGAAATGGACTGTGGTATATCGGGTTTACAAGCCTATCCTAAGCACACCACCTAGGTATCAGCAGCGATTTGGGCAGGGGAAGCTCCGTGCAAGCGGTTACCACGTTCCGGTGCACTCCGTGAAGGGACTCTGGGAGGGGCTGGGTGAGAGATAAAGATGGGCTTCGGAGCCATGCAAATTGAGAGGTCCGGGATGGCCTTGGGGTGAATCAGATAAGGAAGGTCAGATGACCACTCATCCTTGGAATCGTGATTGATATTAATTACTTCAGTGCTGTGCTACTGATGAAAAGAGGGTCGGCTCATTTCCTGAAGATCCTCGTCTCGCACGATAAGTTGGGGGGAACTGGTAGTTGGAGGCAGTGTGGCCGTGGCACCTCAGGCACCCACGGGGGATTTGGGTGCTGGCACCAATCAGGAGGCCTCGTTGGACAATTGGCCAGTCGCCCCATCCTCCCGCTAGTCCTCATCGGTCTAAGGGGAGCCGAAGCGAGCCAATCAGGAAGCACAACAGCGCCTGAGCGACGGACGAGCGTCTCAGGCAGAACTTCCCAGGCCATCCAGGAGAGTCAATGTCACTGCCAGTAACTGCTTGTAGTAAGTAGTAAGTACTACTACTCTTAGTAGGAAGTATGTAGAGTGATTCGCATGATCGATCCCAATCAATAGTTCCAGTTCCCTTCTTCTCCGGGTCTGCTTGCTGTCCCTTTCTCTTCTGCTGCTGCTACTGCTTTTCTTCTTCTTCATCTCCTTTCATTCCCTGGTCGTCCCTATTGCTATTCCTATTCACTACCAACTCCTCTTTTCTCCCTTCCCCGCTGGTTCCTCTCTTTCCCTTTCCCTTCCCTCCTCTCTCCGTCTTTCTCTCTTCTCTCCTCTCGGTCGCCCTCTTTCTCTGCTTCCCCCCCTCAGCATCTCACCACTTACCAACCCTTCCCCTACCCACCCCGATTTCAGTTCTTCATCATCCCCCCCCTTTTCCCTTCATTCCTTCTCCATCAGTGTCTATTCATCTCGCTACTTCTACTTTTTACCTTCCTTTCCTAATCCTTTACTCATCATCTTCCCAACGAACCGTTGCTGTTGTTGGCTTAACATTCTAAAAGAACTTGAAGTTCCTTGGGTGGTCTGCCTGGGGCTCCCGGTTAACTGGACGGTCCTCTCTTAAGCGCGGAACTCGAACTGGGAAAAGGAAAAAGGCACGGAAAAAAAGAAAAAAAGAAAAAATAGCGGCCAAACACGCGCCGAACTCCCGAAACGAAGCAACCCGGCGTCGCCTCTCGTTTCTTCCTCCACTTCTTTCTTTTCGTCAGGTTCGACGTGCGGAAAATAGCTGTCACAAATCGGAGAGGCACAAAAGGAGGAATAGTTTAAAAAGAGAAGAAAAGTGGATAAAAAAAAGCATTAAGGAACACTCCGCCAGAAAAGCGAAAAAGTTTTGATTTACCCTCCCTACCGCGACCGCGTGCTCCTCCCATCTCGACGGTCTGAACGGTAGACCAAACCTTCTCGTCTACTGCATCTTGTGTCTCAAGCATCATTTTCTTACGGTTACAAGAGAGTTGCAGAGCATCTCCGGTCCGTTTCTTATCTTCTGTCCTTCTAATACAGAGAACCTCCGTCCTCTCGTCATCCGAGATTCCACTCAGGTCTTCCTTTCTCACCGGTCGCGTTCAATCTTCCGTCTCGTGAGCTAGCTGAATCTTTTCATCGGCTTCTGACGACGCCCGGCCTTATAATCGCTTGTACACCTGGTTATTAATCACTCATTGGCCCTTTTCGCCTATTCCACCAAGGCACATCTCTGTGTGTGCCTTTTTGTATTCTGCAGGTACGCTGAATTGCTCCGTGGACAATACCTCCAAAAGCCAGGCTAACACCGCTTTCCACAGGGAGTCCGGACTTTCGCCCCGTTCGTTGCCTACCTATTAACCCCTCCGTTTCCCGGTGTCGGTTATTTCTTCGGTGCTCCATCCTATCCTCGACCTTGTAATATTTTAATACGCCGAAAGATCCTTTTGTGGTCGACCACATCGCGTCTCCGATCGCTAAATCGTTAGCACCGTTTCGTTTCGTCAATTGCACATACTGTTTTATACTCCTTTACAGCTACGAGTATGGACGCTGGCGGTCTTGCTCAAATGACCTACAACTCCTCTTTCAACAATGGCAGTGCCCTCGGGGTGCCTGGAGCCAGCTTTGGGTCACGCAGGAAAGGCTCCCATATCAAGCGTCTGAGCGTCCCTCCACCACACATCTCGACTATCGATGAGTCTCAGCCATCTGCACCGATTCCGACTCCGCGCACCAGCCGTTCGCACCTTCTCGCTGGTTTAAGGACGGCTCCCAAGTCAGCCACGATGCCCTCGGCTTCTCAGCGCCAGCAGCACCTTGGCTTCGAAGGTGATAGATATGGCAATCTCTCGAACCGAACTGCGGATCGCGTTCCTCAAACCGCCATGGGAACCGGATTCCCTCGTCATTCGTTAGCCGTCAACCAGGGTCTGGACATGAACACGGGCCGCCCCATGTACACTCTGCCGGAGCAGGTGCTCGCACCTCCGGCTCTTGACATCGCTGGCGATACGCAGATCGACGAAAGCCTGTACGCGGAGTTGATGTCGACCAACCTCTTCTTGGCTGCCCAGCAGCAGCGCTTGCAGCAGCAGCTGATCAGCGTGACCGCGGCCGCTCAGCAGTTCCAGGGTCTTAATCTCGGAACACCTGTGATCCAGCAGCAGCAGCAGCAGGATTATTCTCCTCTGTCCCTCCCTGGTATGGGTTTCTATCAGCAACAGCTTCAGCAGGGCGTGCAGCCCGTGGTGCAGCCTGTTCCTGGACAGCCGGGGCTCTACTCGGTTTACAACCCCTTGACTGGGCAGCAAAACTATATCTATGACAATACCTTCCAGCAGGACAGCTCGCCACAGTACCAGGAAGAGGAGACACAGTCTCCCTCTGTTCAGGTGCCTACCTTCAGAGCTGAGGTGTCACCGCCGCCTGAAAATCGCCAGTCTCCTGTGAATGTTTCTCAGCCTGTGTCTCCTCCCAGCGGCCGTTCATCCCCGCAAGAAACTGCCCCTCTGCCTCCTCCCTCGGCCAATGCCTTCCGCAGGGGTCACAAGAAGAGCTCATCCTTTAACCCCGCGCTCAAGATGCCACTTGACACGGCCAAGGCTAACACTGCCATCACACCCGCGGCTCCCAAGACTGCGGCGTTGCCTCAGACCCCAGCTACTGGAACTTTTGGGCCCGGACAGGCTCGTGCGGGCGAGCACCCGATCCGCCAACCCCGTGGACCACCCTCTCTGGAGGAGCTTACAGCCAAGCCAACATCGAAGCACGAGGGAAGTAAGAACTTCGCCACTCGTCAACGTCGACGTGCGGTGCACAACTTGGTTCGTGCGGGCATTGAACGTCGTGGCGAAACTCGGAGCTTTGGCTGCCATAGCAGTGGTGGTACCAATACTCCTGCGAGCGAGAAGGAATTCACGTTCTCCGATGGGGATGATGCCACGGTTCGCAGTGGTGGTAGCCTGTCCAGCAAGCCCAGCCTGGGTAGTCTTCGCGCCGCTGCGAACGGAGCCATTGGTTCTGAGAGGAAGGAGAGGTCTTCCCGAGAACGCCGATCTCAGGATAGCCCGTACAACACCACCCCCATCAGCGAAGATGGCGGTTTCTTTGGCGGGAAGTTTGCCGAGGTTCGAGCGGATCAGGCCTCTCCACGAACCGGATCACCCTCAGTGGCTGCTGTCGTCGCTGGCCAGAAGACGGTAGCTCAGGGTCAGGAAAGACGCAAGACTCCGATGCTTGTGCTCTCCAGCGCTGAAAAGCGTAAGACCCCGATCATGTAATGCCAACGTCGTACATAATATGACTTGAGACGTAACGGATGCGCAAAGCTTGGATGAATTGTCTTTTTTCTGTTTGTACTTTTTTCTTGTTGTTGGATTTGAGCTCCTGCAGGCACCGCAGTTCTATTTCTACCCGGAATAAACTAGACGGTTAATCTTGATGTCATGGCAGGATTTCTGAGAGAGAGAGATCCTCAGCCCTAGCCTAAGCTTCTCTCTCTCCTTTTTGACACTGTGCATGGACACATGGCCAGGACTCTGCCCCGTCGATGACCCAATCTTTCTGTCTGACGAAGCAAGCCTCGGATGAAATGTGAATTCTTTTCTAACTGTTATTATTCGCACCCTCTTTTCTCTCTCTCTTCACCTTCTTATTCTTTCCTTCGACCTGAACAGATTGATGAACCACGAGACCAGAATCATTAAATCAAGATTTTCCTTATCTGTTTGTTTTCGTCCCTGCCCACTTGAACTGGTGTTGCTGGAAATGGTAATGGACCGTGCTTGACTCTCACCCCATCACTACTTCCTTTTTTTACTTTCCTTTCCTTTCCTAGCACTGGTCCATCTGGACACGGGGACACATTTACTTACTTGTACGTACATACATCTGGTCATGTATGCTCTTTCTTTTACTTGTTTTGTTTTTTTGACCAGAGTTTGGACACTACTGGATACTGAATGCTAGAGGGCTACTGCTACCTATATGCTTAAGTGGACCTTGGCTTTTACTACTCTGCTCTTAATGCAAACTTACATATACTGAGAGTACTTGTAACCTTTCATCCAATCATTACTGTATCGATTTATTGATGCATAGCTGCACTGCACTCATAAGACCGGAATACTACTACTAATTAATCCTTACTACCACCTATTTGAACACACCATTGAAACCTTGGTTAATATAAAAGTCCAGTAAGTAACTAGCAGGCAGTATGTTTCTTCGGTATAGATAGATAGATAGATAATAGTAACTTAAGTAGTAGAGACCAACCAAAACAACACAATCCAGCATTACTTACTTACTACCTGATAGAACACACAACATTATAAAACATGATATCCAGCTCAGCCGCGCCCGCGTCAGGCTCTGCTGCCGATTCGACACTAGTTAGTACTTGAGTTACGTTCAATAGTAATAATGATTGTTACTAATATGCTTGCTTGCTTTCTTTCATCCAGCTATGTGTATGTTATGTATGTGTTTATTTCTTCTTCCCCTTTGGAGCCGCCGCCGCCGCCGCCGCCCCCTTCCCAACAGTCACTAAGGCTGGCTGCAAGGGTAGAGAAAGATTATGATTATCATTACTAAGGTATAACGAAAAAGGTGGTTTCGAAGTACGTGGGTTGCTGCATGATGATGGTTGAGTAGAGGGCCTTTTTTTTCAGGGAGGGGGTGTACCACTACCCCCGGTTTACGGTGGCATATATATAATACTGGACGAATTATGTTCTCGTTGCTAAGTAGAGGCTTATAAAAGCAGGGAATAGGTCTAAGCTGTACCAAAGAGGGACTGGTTTCTATGCGAGGTATTGTTCGTAGTTGATCATTATTCGTGGTATCGTATCTTCTATCTAGTAATAATAAGCCGTCGTAGGGCTGGCTTTGGTGGTGGCAGTAGATGTAAGTAAGTAACGCAGTATAATATATCGATCAACTCAACTTGCATGTACCAGGAGCAGATCAGTGCAAAAAGATTAGTATCCCACCAAAAATGTTGTAACATGTGACCCGAACCGCCGTAGCTTTGCTTTTGTAGACGCTGAACAGAGAAGAAGACAAAGAGAAAGAATGAGTGATACAAACCAGGAGAGAGAAAGGAATCGACACACGCCTGTGTGGATGACAAAGTACAACAAATATACCCAGGGAACGCTTGCAATCCAATCAAAAGAATCAGACCCGAACAGACAAGGAGAGTAACCGGATGAGAAACGACGGATATATATGCATGAATAGCAAGAGCGAGCCCAAATAGTAAGGAACTTCTGAGAAATGAAGGAGGTTGACACCAGAAAGAAACCAAAATCATGTGAAGGGACCAATATAATTCACGCTGAATAACACGACAATTCGCTCCATCAGAGACAGGACAAAAGGCAATCAAGATGCAAGTGTAAAAGAGAGAGAACAATGTGATCAAGGCACATTATCTAGAAGCTGAAGAGTCCACTTCGCTTCTTTCCAAGCGGATAAACAACCAAGGCAGCCAGGAACAGACCCACAGTGAAGCCGACTGCGACCTGGATCATTCCGTAACCGATGTCGAGAACGACGCCGTGGAACTCGCGATCGAAATTTGGGCTCGATAGATTCTTTGCCGCGTCCACGAAGCCTTGTGTCCCGTTGGAGACGACTGCGAAAGGAGAAGTCGACGTAGTGATCTGTTCCGCTGCTGCAATGCCTGAAATGAGTGATCCGCTGGCAGCGAGACCAGACGGGACCAAAACGAAGATGGCGGGCAGCATCGCAGCAGCCGCAAACCCGTGTCGTAGCCGACTGTAAAGATTCCCCATGACCCCGATGACGAACGCACCCAACGCACCGGATATTTGAGTGCTAGAATAAAACCTCTTGGTGCCAAAGTAATTCGTCACGTATCCTGCAAAGGATATAATCAACATCATAGGGATCTGCTTCCACTTCGCTTGATTGATGATTGCGAGGCAGAAGGTGAAGAGGATCGCAAAAGGAAAATGCTGAAGATATTCATTGGTGATGGGACTCGGCGGGCATGTGTAGTCCGAAGATGCATCACCATCCAATAGTCCGTAGACTGCGGTTCCAATCGTGATCCCGAACCCGAGGAAGAGGGAGTAGATGATGGCATAGACCATGCGGACAGACCCGGCAACAATGCTGCGCGACTGCAACTCCAGACTGGCGCACAACACCATGTATCCAGGCAGGATCAGTGCAATCGAGGATTGTGCCAAAGCAGAAAAGCAGAAAAGCCGCCCATCTCCATAGCGGATGCTGCCGAAAGCCCGAGCCAAGAACGAAGTTAGGACTGCTGCGGAGATCTCAAAAACATTGGCGTAAAGATTGGAACGTGGCGAGAGTACGAGCTGGAGGGTTCCTAGAAGACATCCGAGCAAAAAGGCGATTGGCATATCAATGGGTCGTGCGTTGAACGCGAAAGGACCGACGCAGGCGCTGGCACATCCGTAAATAAGAATAACAAGTGGAACCGGGTACTTGTTCTTCTGCTTCAGGATTTCGTCCAACCGTTGAATGGCCTCCTCAACTCCAATCACACCATGAATCACCTCCTTGTAAATGAGATGCACATCGCAAAGTCGGCCCAGATCAACCCCTTGGGGACTTCGGACCAATCTAACCTCGGTGGTGTGGGTAGAGGCATCATCAAACGAGATAATCATGCAACCAGGTATATATAGAAACTGGCCATCAACTTCCAAGACGCGAGCCGTCATCTTCATATATTCCTCCAGTCGGTGGGTAGGAGCACCGTACTTCATCAAAGCCCGGCAAAGCCGGATGAGATATCCCTGACGGGAGAGAAGTTCGGCTATCTGGACCGTGATACGAATCTCATCCTCGAGCTGCGGCTTGCCCATCCGCTTTGGTACATTTGGAAGGGCTCCACTGCTACGCGAGCGCTTAAGCATCGCGGTTGGAGAGCTCGTAGAATTCTTGGCCGTCGAGCCAGCCAGCGAAGTGCTCGACTGGTTAGGGGATTTTTCATACCACTTCCTGGGCCGTTGAGACTTCCAGGTAGGGTCTGGGGATAACCCTTGACTACTGAACTCTCCCGTGCTGCTCCGGCGCAAGCTGGCATTCCGGCCCCGCGAATAGTGGCTACCGGGTTGATCGTAAAGTTTGAGTAAAGAGGAGAGGATGCCGCCGCGGTAATGTGTCGGTCGTTCGACATAGGCGTCAGGGTCCCTTTCTTCAAGGGGAGTGACTTGTCCGGACTCCAGCCCTGCCGAGGGGGCTTGGAGCCGGCTCAAAAAATCAAAATCGCTTCGAGTCATTTGTCTGACTAGTTGGTGGGCTTGAGAAGTTCGGATCGATTGTCGGCCGTTCAGTGGGCCCAGGTCATCGTCGTCTGAAAAATCGCCAAATTGCTTTTCGGAAAGACTTATCATGGGAATCTCATCTCCATCCTCAAAGGGTAGTGCCGCCTCAGAAGGAGTAGATGCGATGGAAGACGGTCGACTAGGCCAAGGACTGGACTTCGGCGTTTTAGAGGATTGGTGCAGCACGGATGCCAGCCGCTGGGCTCTCTCTTGTGCTGAATGAATCGCCCTCCCCTTCTCATTACTGACCTCATCATCATCGCCAGTGGCACTCGTGGAACTGGGTGCTGAGTGGACCGTGAGGCCCGTGACACCTACTTTCGGACTGGGGCTGATATCGATCAAAGGCACTGATTGGGGGTCAGGGGAAGCCTTAACTGCTGATGGAATGCTGGCAGTGGGCAATGGTCTTTGCGGTAGCGACGACCCCCTTCCAACAAACCGGGCCGCTGACGTCGACTCAAAGGGACTGGCGCCAAGACCAGCTTCGCTGACCGTGAATTTGACCCGATTCGCGCTCCTGGGGATTGCTGCATTCCTCAGCCTGCCCTGAGCTCCGCTTGGATCCGGCAACCTCTCCTGCGAGCTCTCATTGGGGGTCGGTAGGGGGGTCAGGACACGCGGCCCTGGGGATGATCTGCTTGCTCCTCCAGATACATCAGTAAGGCTCGAACGCCTGGAGGTGGAGGATATGGGCAGATCAAAATAGCCGCCAGCCATTTTTAATTGCTTTACGTGACTGGCGGAAGCTTGGTCTCAACTCACGGAATCTGCAGTCCGTTTTGTGTTACCTCTGCTTTGTTCTCGCCCAGATTTGATAGCTCTTCTTCCACTCTTATTTTTCTCTTTTCCAATAATTTTGATATCCCTGAACAAATTCAACACGGAGAAAAAGAGAGAGCCACTTGAGATTGCAGCCTAAAGTTGTCCAAGGGGTTTTGATTGGCGAAACTTGTTCCAGCAGCCTAGCAACCGCGTCAATATGTAAGTTGCATCATTATCATGAGATGTGGTTGGTCACAAAACGCACCTCGCAAATTTTGAGCCAAGGTCAAGGAATGACGGACACAGATAAGAATGGTGATACTTTTTCCTTTTCCCTCTTCTTCTCACCAACGTGAACTTGGAGCAAGAGATGTCACAGAGATAGGTTGAAAGGGATAAAGGGCCCGCCACAAGGAATGAAAGTACGTCACGGGTACATAGCCCAATATTGATACAGCCTGAAAAAGAAAGAATTCCTCCGTCGGATAGAAGGGGAAATCGGAGTGAGGAGGGACGCCGGGCAAGATTGCGAAAAAGGAGGGGAGCTTATACTCGGTCTCCTACCTGAGGGACGAGGATGAAGGGGGCCGGCAGGTGATGATGGAGAGAGAGAGAGATAAGAGAACGAGCTCAAGAGAAGTGCACCGCTGGACGAAAGCAGCCGAATCTGGGAAATGTGAACACGGGTTAGAGACAGACAGGACCAATCACGGAGCTCCATGCACCACGATGGTCATATGAAGAGAGTGGATGTGCGCGACCTATCCTTGGCCTTGTGTAGCGGACGAGAGTTCGCGGAATAATATGAAAAAAAAAAAAAAAAAAAAAAAAAAAAAAAAAAAGGAATTGACAATTCGGGGTTAAAAGATCGAGGCGTCTATGCCTGACATCGGGGGTGGCAGGGCAGGGGATGGTGATCTCAAAGAGAGTAGGGGGAAGGGGAAGTTTTGTATCAGACGCTGCTTCGGGTGCCCAAGGCGTGGTTGCCACCTGGGGGTAGTCGAATCACTGCCTTGGCCGGAAGAGTTGAAACCGTGACGAATCTGAGTGGATGGATCACAGAGACCCCCAGAGGGCTAGACACGGACAAGGTCTTACTTATAAATAATCCAAAGTCAAATGCCCACTCTTCTTCCAGCGGGTTTCGATAAGATACACTGGGTTATATGTGTCCGAAGTGCTACTAGTGCTCACCAGCTGAGCCCATCAAGCCAGACACATGGCTTTCAATCCAAGCTGCTTCATGAGCACGATCAGGAGGGCAGGAGGAGAATAGTGGACACCTAGCCCCCGGTATAATTGAGTGGCGCTTAGACGTCGGCGAGCGAGCAGTGAGATTATTATTTTTTTTTTCCCTTCTCTTTTTCCTACTGCTACTATCTTAGATGCGGGCAGCATTATCGACGGAACCGGTTCCACGGGCTCCACGATGCGGTACCACTTGGCCCAAGGGGGAAGCCACCTTGGCCTAGATGGAGACCGGATAAAGGGATTGCAGTTGCAGCAGGAAGCCACTGGAAACACAGGACCCATAGCAGCCCGTCAGAGTGCTTTGGTTCTGATAGTAGTTTCCATTGCTCCGGGTGGTTATTGGTGGTGGTAGTTTGTGGTGTTGGGCTTGTTGCCGGACAGAACTCGGTGATAGTGTCTCTTTCTATTGATTTTGTTGTTTTTCTGTTGCAGCTGTAGATTCCATGTTTGCTTACTCGGTATGACCCACGTAAGGTATCTATGTGGTGGTGGATGTCATTGTTGGTTTTATTTGTGTTTCCTGTTTGCTGAATACATAATTCTCCTGGTATTTGTTTTTCTGTCTCTGAAAGTGGAGGCCTGTCAATCGGGGGGAGACTCCACCGCCCGACTGGAAAACTTGAAGTGCCTGGAAGGTCTGGGCTGGGCCTTCTGGAACCATTGAGGGAAGGGGAAGATCCATGGGTTACCGCGGGCGGTATTGGGCGGGAAAAGCTTGATGAATGCAATTGCTCGCGTCAGGTCAAGCTTCATTCCCTTGTTTTCTTTTTTCAGGTTCTCTCAAAGCCCCGAGTGGGACCGTGGCTGGGTCCGGAAGAAGGAACCCAGGTTTATCACCCACTTTAGCGCCCGAACCGGATCGCGGACCCCAAACCGAAAGTCCGACCCTCTGAAAAGGCTGGACTGGCTATCTATGACTGTTGAGCCCGTGGCGGCTACTCCGGGAGCAAGCCATAAGCCTTGGGTCTATTTTGCCAACTCGTCCCAGGGCCTATGTCGGCTACCCGATCATTGCAGACTGAAGACCGATAGTTTGAGGTCCGCCAGACATGGTGTGGATGAAGACGCTTGCAAGGAGGTGCACTCCGTACTCTGATTTGTGCGGCGCATGAATGGTGCACCCATCGATCGGGAATGACATTGATCATTGCGATGACGATGGATCAATTTCATCCTCAACTCACAGAGAACAGCAAGTCTTGGACGTTTCTTGAGCAGCGTGGGTGGGTCGGCGGTGCAGCCAAGTTGCTGGATTACGAAGCTTCGGGGGGATCTTTGGAATTCATCACATGGGTGGGTGGATTGTGTCAGAGGGGGGGATGGATGGAAAGAAATGGAGAAAGGGAGGGGAGGAGGAAAGGAGAAGGTGAGGTTGGGATTGGATGGAGGGAGGGAAGCCAGAGTGGGTGTGGGAGATGGATGGGTGGATGCATCAGTCACTGACTGACTGACTGCCTGTACTGTATGTACTGTATGCACAATGTATGTTCACTTCTAGCCCACCCACCATTTTTCCTTCCCTTCCCTTTTCTTTTCTTTCCTTTTCTTCATTTTCCATCTCCATCTGTCTTCCTGCATTTCACTTCCTCCCTTTTCTTTTCTTCCTCTGGGCACTACTGCAGACTACTACTGGATAGTATGGACGGCTGCCTTGGTAAAACCCCCTCCTAATTCCAAGAAGGTCCCTGCTGATCCACACAAGGGATGACGGTTTTTGATCTTCGCCGAACCAAGTCCATTTATTGGGAGTTGTGTTGCCCCCCTCAGGCTGTTGTTGCTCCGTGCACTTGCTTGTCTTTCAAGTTCTTTCCCCCTCCTTCGACTCCGATCGCCCAATTACGCCGTGCCGATACACAGGTGGCAATTCCCGGTGAGGATTCTACTGTTCTCTCCCTCCATCCAGTCCGATGGCTGTCGTCTGTAGCTGAAAACTCTTGTTTGTCTCCTTTCCTCTAGACTCGATGGGCTTTCGATAGCGTACTACACTACTTGACGATGCTATCTATGAGGTCGCTATGGAACATGACCTCCAGGCAGCAAAGAAACTCCGGAGCATTACGGGAACCTCTCAAGGCAAACAAATCATCATCAGAAAAGTGATACTTGGGACGTTGAAACTAAGTACTCCGTAGGTCGTTTCGGCTCCTTACTTGGGCTGATGGGCGTTCCCTCTCAGACGGCATGGCGGTGGTAATGTCGCCGATCCACATTCCCCGAATCGCTCACTCGCTGTGTCGTCGTCACAGCAGATCCGCCGGCTCCATGATCTTCGCGGTGATGCGCAGAGCTAATGCGACCGCCCCACTGCCATATTTGTCTGCCTGGCCTGCATCAGACAGCAAGGCAGAGTAGAAGTTGGCAGGTATAATTAGAAACTCAGTTGGGTAGACCTCTTACCCTACGTAGTAAGGACAAAGAGATTTCTAGGTTCTTGAAACTGACGATGAACTGAATATGAATCCGGTCTCCCCGCCTTACACAAGTCGGCATCGTCCAAAGTACTTGGGAAGTCTGCACTCCTGTGCTCGACTCCGCTCCCGACACTGCTTGCTTGTATCACTTACCTTCCCATAATGTCAAGGGCTCTTCCGGGAAAGAGGAGTGGATTGGGATGGGGTTACACGATGGGCTCTTTGAGCTCAGCTCAATTCTTCTGTGCTCCAGAGTGGTTGGATCACCACCCTCTTTCATCGTGATGCAGAAATGGTGTTCTTCATGTGGTTGTCTAGTCATTGACGTAGCTCCAGCAGACGCCTCGTACACCCCGCGCCATCCTGGACAACTCCTCAGCTTTCACGGTAACGCAAATTTCTCCCAAACGCAAAATGGCTCAGCTTTCAACTGTGCCACTAACGAGAGCTGCCGAGGATGTCTGTGACTCCTGCACGACGCAGGGACCAATACTTAATTCTGCAATCGGGAGTGCGCCAACATTACACACCATGGCTGTCTGTTCTACCAGTGGCACCGGGGAGGGGAGGCTGCCGAGCCGGCGGATGCACATGTATGCTGACGAACCATCGTTTGGGCATCTGTGCAATGATGGCATCCACATTCTTCAGTGCAGCGTAGCACAATGAATGTTATCGGGCATCATCCACGAGCCCCCAGCAGCCAGCGCCCGTAGATCAGCCACCGGTGGCTCGGGCGAGAAGGTTCCTTGGTTCAACTCTTTCCGGGCCTTGTCAGGGGTGGGGCAGAGCTTATTTGACAGTTGAACCCGCCTGGCCCGATGTACTTTTTTACCTTTACTTGACTGTCAGACACTTTCTCTCATTCTTGTCTGGGCAGTTGATGTTCCTCGATGGTCTGGAATGCTCTCCGGAGCCTTTCTCCTGATCGCGCATTTGGCCATCTGCGGCTGCAGCAACAAACCACCTAATCAATCCGCGTGGCACAACAGCAGCAGTCAAATTTCCTCAGACAAGAAGAACATATCTCAATGGCAATGAGTTCTGACTCAATGACTCACACGTCAAGTCTCATTGGTGCTGCTTTTGCCACAACCAGGTACTTGGCAAGGATGCCTGGAGCACCGGAAAGGCTAAATATTGGAACCTCAGCAGTCCAGGCCAGCGTCGAGCTACCATCTTGCTGGCTGACTGGGCTCCACCAATCCATCCACCTCTTACCTGAACCTTCGATGCTTCTTCCAGTGACTGTCTAGACTCCGATCGGTCATGATGCCGTCAGCTGGTCTATCTTGACATCAGACACGACGTGCTTGTCCGCGGGCTTCCGGAGGAATCAAGCTGTCGTTAGATCTAGGCCTTGAGACCTCGCCGTCCATAACAGTCCCGTTCACATGGATTCATTCTCCAGGTAGTATGATTGGGCACTTGTAGATTTCTAGAAAAATGTGCCGACTGGCTAACAGTACCTCTCAGCAGCTGATGATCAGAACCCCGCATAATATGCAGCGTGTACAACTCGATCCTTATCCAGTACAAATCAGAGCCAGCAGAAAGTACAACCAGAGTATAACGCGATTCATCAGGAGTCGCCAGAGATAAGTGCATCTAGAACACATGCACACACACAGGTCACCAGAATAACACAAGGTTTGTATCTCCTAGCTTGGCATCCGTGCGTCGGACTCTTCATCACACAAGAACTTGCAATTAATCCCTTATTATCACGCGGCAAATAAGCTAATAATGAGACATAGTATCAACTACTAATCTCTTTAACCTTCATGATCACCACATCACATCATGTACGCACCCAATCACCTAAGATTGTCTAGCTCCGAGCTAAACTATACAAGGTATACAGCACCAGGTACAACCACATGACCCTATCTATCCTCTCCACAATATACACTATACGTCTTGAGACCACTGATCCTAGATATATACCCATCCCCTATCTGACCGGCAGACTCTGAAACCTAAGCAACTAAGCCACGCTACTCCAGCAACCACTGTACCTAGCCGAAACTATCGGAATCTCGTCATTGCCGCTAGTCGATCATTACCTCCCCACTCTGCCTCGCGTCATTTCTTTCTTGCACTGATAACGACCAAAACAACCTTTCGGGAATTAAAGGGGAAGGGGGTAGAATTGATTGCTGCCCAACGAAAACATTCGATCACCTATGTTGATCAGTGGGCAGGCAGTTCTAGAAGAATACTAGGTGGGTTGATCTACAGTCACTGGATCGTATGCTACTTAAGTACCAGTTCTTACTTTGGAGGCTAGTGAACTGGATGAGAACCGGTAGGTTTGTCACTTAGACTAGGGATGAGTTGAGTAAGTAATCAATTCTTAGATAGACTCATTACTATACTAAGAATGATTACCATCAAATCTCTATTACTAATCCCACAAGTAGAAGTAGGATATGTACTAGACAGTAGGAAATATATATGACACTGATGCCAGGAACTTTATTTAGCATTTTGACCTTAAAACTGTATCAATTGCCATGGCTTTCAGTGATGTGATCACATGTCAAAGGTACTATGATCGGAATTAACACCATCATGATATCACATATATATATATATATTCTAGAAAGGAGTACTACTACTAATTTGACCATCATCCTCGTCATCACTAACAGTACTAGTAGACGCAATTTTAAGGACCTGTACATATATATATATATATATCTTAGATCTTATGGCAAAGAAGGTAGTAGTACTATTGAATCCTGCGATTCCGGAGCATTGAACTTCTAATTGAATACTACTACGTACTACCATTCTACCATTCTACCATTCTATCATCATACCTTATTCTGCTCCCCTCATTCTACAAAGCCCCAAGTAGTACTTATTCTATACCATTCTATAATTCTATAACATTCTTTTACTTACTACCTGGCACCGAATGAAAACAATCCCACATTCCAACCTCAATAACAAGGAAATATACCACACTAATACCACCACTTAGCCCTTTCAGACTAAATATACTTACACAGAAAGCCAAGCCTAGTTACTTCATACTTCATACTTCATTTTAAGTACTATCGCCACTTCCATTACTTACAAAGTAAACCCATCCATCAATCCAGGCTGAAACATACCATAAGTACCACCTCAAAAACCTGTATGTATATATAAATAATGCTATGTATCTAAAAATAAACCACCACCACCACCATATTAATCATCCATGAATGAATGATGCATTATTCTAGATAATTCAGCAAGTTTCTATCCATTCTTTTATTCATTCATGTGCATTCATCCACCACCTTTGAACTGCAAGTTCATTTATCCACCATCCCTGAGGACGCGTAATCCCCAGTAATCTGCTTGCTTAGCCACTGCAGATCATTTGTGCGCCCTGCACATCTTCTAAACTTTCAAAGGTAGGTACTATAAACAAGATAGCTAAAATAAGCACTAACCACTAACTATACACCAATCACTAAGCGTGGAAAGAGATAGAAACCGGTTTTATCTGTTTCTAATTCCTATAGATGTTAGGTTAGGCTAGACTAGACTAGACTAGAATAAGTAGACTAAACTAGGTGCGTTTTGCATGTGTATGTGTATGTGTATGCTAGTCAGCACTTTATTTACTAAATACTATCTATAGTACTAGTATGTAGTTCACCTACAAGAAAGTACCTACCTATCTGTCTGTCTGTCTTGTGGGATTATCTATGGTCAGTACACTCATGTTGTATTGCGTGTTGGATGACTCGGTACCCTTGTTGTTATTACTTTGTATGGACAAGTAAATGGATAAATCTGAAGGATTAAGCTTCATCCAGATAATGTACTGAGAGTAGTATACTATTTATTCATCCTACTGACCAGGTCTTATCCCATCCTATCCTATCGTATTGTGTCCTTCCTCCGTCCATCCAACCGTCCATTCATACACACCCCAACTCCATTGCTGAAGAGAAAAAATATCAACGCCAACCAAAACGAAATTAGAATTTATCAAACGCCAAGGCTAGTCCCTGCCCTGCCCTGCACAGCCCAGTCCGCAAATACATGACATAACAGGTTGTAATGAACCGCTCCCGTCCCTCCCTTTCATGGATATGTATAGTAACAAGCGTCATCCTATGTGATTGATACCGAGACTACGTCGAACGACGCTCTACCCGGCTCAACGCCCCCAGAATCACGCCGAGGTCTTCTCGGGGTCGTGGTCGGAGGCTGAGGTCTTGACGGTTGTTGGTTTCGTCGGCGCTGGTTTCGGCTGTCACGAGTCGACGACGTGCGTCGCGCTCGTCGAGGCGCTCGGCGCAGATGCGGAGGATGCGGGTCGAGACTGTATCGGACATGGTGCGGTAGAGGTCGATGTCGTGGATGCCAGCGGCGAGGGAGTCGAGGGTCGGTGCGAGTGAGTTGGTGATGCGAGAGAGTCGGGTGGAGACGGTAGAGGGTGACATTTGGGGTAGAAGGTTTGGTCCGGGCCCTGCTGGCTCGGTTTCCATGGGCTGGGTATCTGGTTGTTGTTGTTTGGCGGCTTCGGGGTTTAGTTGTGCAAAGATTTCTCGTTGCGACGGAGCTAATAGAGACAGGTCGATTTGTTCGGGCGGTGATGGTTGTGATAATGGAACGGAGTCGGAGTCGGGTTGTTCGGGTGGTGCAGGCTTGATTCGAGGGATGTCTGCTGGCCGTAGGAGTGCATTGAGAGCATGTCGCTCTTTTTGCAGCCTTGACACGTAACTGTTAGCTTCCGCCTGCGGCTGCCCATCAGACACTGCGTACCTTTGTATTTGCTCTTCCAATTCCTGGATCTTCTCCGCGTTTTGGATATTCTTTGGGTTCTCCTTCTTGACCACCAGAGTAGGAGGGGTAGCATCCTCTCTTCCAAACCAGTTGGAAAGCTCCGAGTTGCTAGAGAACTCCTTCAGCAGCTCCTCCTGAATGACTCGCGCTGGGATTTGTTAGCTTATGCATGCACTTCCTCATTATCAAACGTACCGGCTAACCGGGCGCTCTCGTCTTCTGAGCGCGACCCAGATGGCTTATCACCCATTGCTCGCGTGCCACACCATATCAGGAGCTGACGCATCCTCCGAGGCTCCGGCAGATCAGCCGCGATATGCTTGTAGAAATCTGCAGTATCAACCTTCTTGTGCGGTAATGCTGCAACGTTGTTAGCATCATTCAGACACTCATGACACGAATTGCCCACCATTAGACGCCCCCGAGTCAATCAGTGAGCTGGCTCTCCGTCCTCTCATCCCGAGACTGCTCCGTCGATTCCCTCCTTTCACGGATTTCTTTCCCCGCATCTCCTTGTTGCGCTGAATGACTGGCGTATCCGCCAACGGCAGCGCAATTGTAGTAGCAGTTCCGGACTGTTGCGGCTCTGGAGACACAAAGCCATTGCGTGGTTGCGGTTGCGGTTGAGGCTGCTCCTGTTGAAGTGCATCGGTCTTCGAGTTACTCGGCCTGCCTTTCCTCCGCTTCTTCTCCAACGGCACTGTCTCGACTTGGTCGTGTTTTCGTGTTGAGCGTGTAGCACGCTGTTGCTGTTGCTGTGGTTGTGGTTGCGGTTCCGGCTCAGGCGCAGGCTCGACCGGAGCTACTGAATCTTTCGCAGCGCCTCTCGTTCTCCTCTTCCCAGTCCCTTCAGCCTGTTTCTTCGGTTCCTCCGTAACCTCCGTCTTCTTCTCCTCTACCCGCTTCTTCGGCGGTCGACCTCGCCTCGGTGACGGTTGTGCCGGCTCTTCCGGGACAGGTGACGGTACCTTCTTAGACTCTGATGGCTTAGCTTTTTTGGTCGTGATGCGCGAGAACTGAAACCCCTCGATATCCTCCTCGAATACTGTAAACCCAAGCCGAGGCATTAGCAATTCATCCAATACCCTCATCGCATAAGACAATCACCGGCACTGCGATCGCCCTTCGTTCCAATCGCACAAGGTCACTCACCAGCCTTCCGTTTCTTCTCCGCAGCACTCAGCTTCTCCTCACCCCGATCCTGCTTATTCAAACTCAATCGCGCGCTCGTTCTCCTCCCCGAGCTTCTTCCAGGCGCGGCAGGACGCGCCTGCGCCTGGGACGTTGCCATATCAAGGGCCAGTAACGGTTCGCGACGTTTCGTCTTGGTGGTAGAGGTAGTCAAAACAGTGACGGTCATGTCAGGACCGGGACTCAAAAAGCGGGGTCGTAAGAGCGGGCAACAAATGAAAAAGAGTAAGGAGCGTAAATATCAACTTGCGAAGGAGTCGAATACAGTTCTGCCCCGCGCAGTGACTTTGTGTTTCCTGCCGGGAAGAAATCAAGCGCGAATGGTAGCTGAAGCTGAAGCTGGCCGCGAAGAATTCCTCCCGCTTCTGTTGTTGATAGGAACCTCTCCGTCACCGCCAAATCCTTCCACTCCCGGAACAATTCACAAGCGACAAGTAGCTGGGATTGACAATCGTGCCTATGACAGACTCCTCCGGTTTTCTTTTTGGTACTTGGATAGGTTGGGGGAATGCGGGATCGCGCGGTCGCAGGTAGTCGACGGGTAGCTTTCGACGGGACGCAAAACGGGGGGTGGTGTGGGCGGTCCGAGGGACGTGTTGTCGATAGCCGGGTTGCGCGGTACAACCACCCGTTCAGAAGACGCGGCGACAGCGGGCGACCGATTGAGACAGGCAAATGGAGATTGAAGATAGGATGGCAGAAACTCCCACAGGGCTCCTTGCGCAGAAGGGCCAAGCTCTGGCGTCGGGATGACGGGGGGAATTTGGCTCTTGCGAGTTGCCGCAGCACGCGCTTGTTTTGGTCGTGGCGCGTGGGGACGACGCTAGGCCCGTTTCGGGTGACACCGCTGGCCCGCGAAATGCAGTCAAGTCACTTACTCTATCTTACTCTATCGAAATTGTGATATATGATAAATTCAATATTTGCAACTATGTCCATTACGTATGTTCTAGTATCTAATCAATGTGTACAGCCCCGCATGATTGCTTGCTTCCAGTAGTCGTTCGGCTTCGTCATGGTAGGTAAGTATTCTTTACAAGTGTGCTGCAAATCGCTATGACGGCTCCCGGCCGTGATCATGTACCAGTAAACGCCCGAAATGAATAATTCATCATTTGAGTCGCCTCAAGAGGATCGCGAAAAGATTCACGCATGTTACGCGCTGTTCCTCTCCTATTCGAAGGCCGCCGCATCAGTCGGAGGTGCCAGACTGCCTTCGATTCGGCGCTTGGCGGCTTGCATCTCCTCCAAAGAGACATCCTCGGTCTTCTTCGGCATGTCGGGCTCATATTGAGCGACGCCAGGGCTGTGGCCTACGGACATGCCGACTCGAATCTGCAACGGGCACGGCATGTTAGCACTGATGACGTATGAGGATCAGAATGGAAGGGTGCTTACCAATGTTTCCAAAGGACCCTTTGAGTTGTCCACCAGGTCACTGTCGAAGTTCACAGCACCCTCTTCAAATAGGAGCAGGAGAGTGCTTCCTCCAAACTTGAAGTATCCAAGCTCTTCAGCACGGGAGACCTTCTCTCCCGCCTTCCGTGTGATGACCGTACTTCCCACCATCATGGCTCCCACGCAAACCACCATGACACGGCCGTGAGCGACAGAATCAATGGGTACTAAAACTCGCACATTTTCGCCATAAACGTCCAACGCAGAACGGATCGCCATCGGGTTGACAGTGTAGTATTCACCTTCAATAGTCTTGGGCTCGCCCAAGACACCGTCCACGGGGATATGGAAGCGGTGGTAGTCCTGCGGCGCGAGACGGAAGATTCCCAGCGCTCCATTCTTGAAGCGCTGCACATCCTCAGGATATGCGTCGCCCAAAAGTCGAGCCACGGAGAACTCTCTACCCTTGACCCAGATTCCGGTCGCTTCCTCCAAGCGGTCAAAAACGACCGCTCGGCAATCAGCAGGCGAGACTACGATTCCAGGCTCCTCAGGGGCTGAGCAGGGCCGAGCACCGGGCTTGAGGGCACGGTAGAAGAATTCGTTGAAGTTCTTGAACTTCTCCACTGGGAGCAAGACCTCAGACATATCGAGTTGATGGAAATTGATAAAATCCCGGATCTGACTGGCCGATGCCGGGTCATCGTACTTCCTGCCCTGTTTGATACTGAGCGACTTCAGGATCTTGCGGACTGTGATAGACGGTTAGTTATGTGCGATTCAAGCTGGAAGCCGCAAGCGGGTAGTCGTACTTCTCTTCTTTTCCATTTCTCGACTCTTGAGGCCCTTATATAGAAGCCGGATTCCCAGCCGGACATAGACGCTCATACGCTCTTCATTGATCTGGCCAGTGATTCGATCCTGAACGAGGATGTTGGCCGAGTTGGCACCCAGCTTATACCCGCCATAGGAGATCTTGGTGATCACCTTGGTGTACCACTTACGCTGGGCTTGACTCGATGTGACGAATCCACCCATGACGAGGTTGTCCACCTGTCTCCAGTCCCGGCTGGCACAGGTAGCAATGTGTGTGATAATGTCGGCATCTGAGCGTGACGAGAGGCGCGGTTGATGACATAGAGGACATTCTCGGAGTTCGATAACGTGTTCCACACCTCGTTCATCTCCCAGGTCATCTGGAAGGAGGTCCTCCTCCGTGGAACTCGGCTGCTCATCACTCGACAATGTCGGTACTGAAGTAGTCTGAGGATTGGCATTGTGGGAGCGAGGTTCCATGGTGAGCTCATCACCACTTGATTGTTCATCACTCTCACGGCTAGCTGTCGACGGCGTGGGCGAGAGTTTCTTTGGGGGTGAGCCGGGATCTTTCTGCAGAGCCTGAAGTGTATCTTCCAGGCATATCACAGCCTGGTCGAATGTCAGATCCATAGTATCACTGGGCTCATTCTCCGAGCTGAACCGTTCGAAGAAGCTGTCGATCGTAGACTCCTTCAGGGTTGACCCAAGAGTGTCAAGCATTGTCGTGAGCTCAACTTTATCGATCCGGCCGCTCTCATCGGCATCATACTGTCTAAGCATGAGTCTCCAGAACTGCTGCCGCAGTGCACGATAAGGCATGTATTTCGCCTTGACAAATAATTCAGGGAAGTGTTTATCTTCCCATCTTTCTTTGTTTTTCAGGGCTAGTTGTATCCGATAGACCTGAAGGCCATTCGACTCGAGCGGTCCGATCGGATCGCCTTCGAAACTGGCCGCTGTTGGGGTGGAGGGCTGGCTGCTCTCGGGAATTTCAGGGATACTCCGTGGAGTTAGCAATGTCGAAGACTGTTCCTGCAGTGTCTGGCTTGATAAGGATGTAGAAGAACCTCTGGGTGTTGTGCCAAATTTGGGTGACGTTGACAAGCTGTTGGCCGAAGGTGATCTGCTGATGGCAATTCTTATCTCTGAGGGCCGGCTGGAATGACCTTGCTCGGCCCCTGTGGGATCCAGAGTCGGGTCGACGAATTTGTATAGACCGGTTTCGGGGTCGGCCTCGGGAGCGGACTTGATCAGCGTCTGGACCGGGAACGAAGCGGAAGCGACAAAGTCATTCCCAGAGAACTTGTCTCTGTCCATGACGGTGAACCCGATAGTATAAGATTGTTCGTGTTTCATAACCTGAAAGACCATCTTCTCGTTGTAAACTGGGTTGAGATTGTGACGCACGACCGGCGTTCGAAGCGTCTTTCTGCCGAGAGATGTGACCACGAATGGATCCATGTCAAAGGAAGTGCGCGTTACTGTTGTGGGTTAGCAAAAAAGTAGGAGCCATAGCAGTTGGCGCGTCTTACCATTCCGTTCCGGCGGAAGATCTGTCACTTTGACAATTTCCATGAAAACGATACCCTGTACTCCGTTACCAGCACCCGAGAATTGATAGGCTCTAGCGGCAAGAGATTTGCGCTTCAAGCGCTTGAGCCGTAGCCTGCGTCTTCTCTTCTCAACGACCTCAGGTTTCGTAGGGTCGTCTGTCTCATCCGAGGTTTCTTCCTCTCTGTCGACATCATCCAGCGTGATGGACGGGATCTGCGGGAAATCATCCTCCTCATCTCCAGAAGACACCATAGTTTTGAATTTGAGATAGGTGTCCGTTGGCGAAGCGTTCGGATTCGATGCGTCGAGGAGTGAAAATTTCAGAAGAATCTCCCCAGAGACCATACTGTCCTTCTTTTTAGTTGGTTTTCGCTTGGACTTGAGTGTATACCATTTCGGCTGCAGGGCATATATCAGCTTAGTTCGAATCACGCTACATAAAACGGACGCCTACCTGCTGATGAACGTCACCGTTTTGAAAGATATCCTCCAGTGCTATGTCGAACTCGCCCAGGTAATCTTTGCCAAATCTATCATGGTCCCAACAAATGCACTCCAACAGCGGTACGCCAACCACTGGCATCTCGAATGTCACATTCCATTCTGGATTCAAGGTCTTGGGAATTGTGGGTGTTGATTGTCGTGCGTCTCCGAGCGTGACTACCAAGTACTGCAGAGGAGGAAGATTTCGTCAGCCACAAGGGTTCAACATGAGATTGACTGTTTTTGCCATTAGTTGAGAAAGGGGGGAACTCACCGGATCACTAGTCCCTCCTCGATCCTTAGCTGCAAGATTTCGTCCCTAACGGTATATGCGACCTGGGTTAGCGGATCAATGGAACTGTGGTCAGAGCTTCCGTAGAGCTCCGCGCGCTCGTGGGATGCGACGGTCTCACTCACCCGAATGACGGAGACTTTCAGGATCAACGGCTTCTGCTCTGGCATTCGCATCGGGCTTGTACTCCTACTTTGACCGGGAGTGGGGTTATTGCTTTTCGTGCTCAGATGGCTGCTGAGACGTTGTGGCAATGGTAACCGCACCATGGTGACCGGCCGGAAGTGCGGGGGAAACAGGCTCGACGAAGGCGGAGGACAGGACACGTCGCGTCAACACGGGAAACTGGACAAGGAAAGCGGTATTAGAGAAGAACTATCGCATCAATCAAGTGCCATGGAGGGCTATGGGAAAATATAGTACATCGAAAAGCGGCCAGAGCTCCCCGGCCACCGTGACGAAGAGGTGTCACGGTGTGGTTGCCTGTCAGGACGAACTGCCGGCTGATCTAAAGTACTACTACTGTCTGGGTCCGCCCAGTGAAACCAGGAGACGGAGCCACGATCGGACAGTACGGGGATCAACAGGAGAACTTCACCCACCCTGCAATTGGCACCGTTTTGTGTCTAGAGATGCAAGGCCAGGAGCATTGCGCCCACAAAACCGGTGACAACGAAAATGGGGTGGAAGAGAGGGAAAGCTTAATGCACGGACTGGACGGGGTGAATACTGTAATAATAGTAATAGTAATAATAATAATACGACTGGGGAGGGAGGAACCACCCCAACAACAACAACCAGGTCGGTAGTAATATTAGGAATAATAATGATGATGATGATGATAATAATAGTCAAGCTAAGGAGTACTAATAATAATAATCGACGATGGAGACGGAAACCGGGTCTGGGAAAAAGGAGAAGGAAAACACAACAGCAGCTGCAGTAGCAGCACTCGTATTGTGAGTGGGGTTTTGAGGGTGGATGTCGTACTGTTTAAGTCAGTCAGTCAAGTCAATGAGTCCCTTTTTGAGTCCTCCTCGATGGGTTCCTTCTTGTACTTGGACCTCGGAGTTCCCAAGACTCTAATTTATTCTGCTGTTTTTGGAAAGCTACAACAAGATTCAATAATGGTTGCAGCGAATCCCCAGTTCCCAACAACGGGAGCAAGTGAGGAGTTGCGGAAGCCGCCGGTTACGCCCTGGATATTTGAAACTCCTCCTATTAAATTGGACCCTGGTAATTCGTCGAATGCTATAGGGCTAGAAGGTGCTGGAAGAAGTGGAAAGCTGGTAGATAAGACGTTCAGGCCCACCGGGCGAGTGATCATGAGTCTTGTGAAATGGAGAAAAAATAGAAAAGAAAAAACTGGCAGCCTAGTACTACTACTTCGCAGAGTGGATGGGGTTGTGGCTATGGCTATTTCCGAGCTCTTCCATCTGGACCACTCACCGATCAACTTGTCTTAACTCTGTCTCGTACTATGCTCTCTACAGTCTCTACATCAGGAGAGTTCATCCACTGGCTATGTACGGAACATCGGAATCCAATTACTACTATGCCGAGCACGTTTCTTGCTGCCTGAACGTCATCTGAGAACCCCTCATAGTTTCATCCAAGGCTCAGATCCAATGAGAGCGAGTCCATCCAGTAGATCGACTGCCCCTCGATCCGGCGCATCCAATGGATGTTGTCTAACGTGAGCGATTCACTCGGGCAAAGACGACAACGGAGGGGCTATGGATCACTGCCTCGTTGTCCCTGCTTCAGCCCTGTACCCCCCACCCCCGGAGTAAGTCAAAATGTCAATGAATAACCGAAAGGGTCGAAGGGAACAAATTATGAGTAGTCTATTAAAGGACTGGGACTGTCGGAAGCAACGCCCGATTAAAGATGGTTGCCTGAAGGCGGTGAAAATGAAGTCACTCTGGAAATTGTGGGTTGGATTTTGTCCAGAAACAAAGACATTAGGCAGTTTCCCTCTCCACTTCCTCATGCTGGAACCATGGTTCGGCCCATCGGTCAAATGCTTTGCAGCTTTAAAGATCTTGACTCTTGATAATTAGCTACGTGTAGCAGATGATGTTTAGTTTGTGCTAAGGCTGACTTCACTATCGGTGTAAATCTCTCACTGATAAATTATTTATTTGACCATGGATCCTTGTGGAACAGAGCTCAAGCTACCGCATGCCTAAGTCACGAAGAATGATGAAAGTGACTGGTCAGTCGACGGAGCATTCAAGCTGGTTGCGCATCGTACGGAGTAAAGCTTTACAAGATACATGTCTATCACCTGGCTCAATCAGGATCAGATTTTCTTTTCGTACGACCATCAACAGTTCCCGTCAATCTGGGGTCTCCCGAAGCGACACGTTTTTGCACAATCCCTTGCTGCGGAGTAAACTGCTACTTGCGGGTTAACGCCGACATCGCCATCGATCCCAGAGAAATAGATCACCTCTATGGAATAAAGGTGGAATGTTCACTGACCATCCAGCACGGCTCAGCTGCTGTGCTGTGCATTGGCGGGGTTATCGCTGTATAGACAAGGGTCGCTCTTCGCCATATTCAAGTGCTACCACAACATGGTAGTAGTACTACTTAAGAGTACCTCTTCTACCCCCACCTGGCACTTTCACATCATATCCTCTATTCTCAAATCAACGTATGGACGAACCAACATCTCATAGCTACCCAAGCTAGTATTTTAGAGAAGGGGAGGGCAGGAGCGACCGTCGCTCAGCTGAGTGGGTTCGAAGTACACTTGTCGAGCCATCACTTCAAGGCTGATCAACAAACAGGGACCTCCGACATGATTAGTTGTTTGCCTTCGACCTAAATTGGGATAGGCTGCAGCAGACTCATTCCTATGATAGGCCAAATGATTGCTACGTACTAAGGGTCTCTATCGATGCCACGAACTCCTCAGATCTCTCGCGGCACCCAGCCACTGGAGTTTCAAGCTACCGCTCCTGCTCGGCTCTCCTCCAGCTATCCACGCAAAACAGATACTCAACAACTGCAAAAATATTTGACGGGTCTCTGGCCTGTCGAACAAGATGAACTCGCCTCTCCTCCACTTATGATGCATCCATACCGCCTTCCAGCTGACTGAAGCTTTGATGCAGTTAAGCTGTGGGCGGCCGACTCGGGTCCACGACTAGGCTGGCCGCTAATGCAGCAGCGGTTCGGGATGCAAATCAACCTCAGCCGAACACCTGAGCACCACCTATCATATGGAGTACAGGTGGCTGGCAGCTTTTGCTGCGGTCGATCGATTGGCCAAGGCAGACCTTCAGCTCGCCAGAAATTGCAGTGCTTCCTATGGGTTCCTCCACTGACGCTTATAAGACTCCTTACCTCTGCCAACTCTCCGTGACCTACATTTACATGGTCCCTCAAATACCCCGCCATCTTGCTGGAAGAATCACTTCATATCCATGTTTGGACTGTGATTCTGCAGCAAATTTATCCTTCGGGCACATTTCTGCAGACATTTACTGCCATAATCTGATTTGAAGACAACATGGGCTGGTTTCCGACGACGCTCGATTCCGAAGCACAGAGCTGGCGGTTTGATATCGTCTCCCTTCTGGCCATTATCGGAGGATCCTCTATTGAAAAGCATAAGCAGGCAATCACGGCGTTCCCATTTGCCGGGTTCCCACGTATCCTACCCGCCCCTGAATCACTGCTGGATACAGATCGGCCCAACCGACTCCCCTCTGTCAAGGAAGTCACTATCATTGGCGTCAAATCCGGTACGCGCTTCACCGAACTCAATTTCTTCGCCAATGTCATCCACAAGCTCGAGGAGCTGGAGGAGTATGAGTTTCGGTCCTACAAGATTACATATCGGGAACCGGAGAAGGGCACCATTAAAAGCGCAGCAGTGGTGGACGATGTCGAGAATGGAGGAACGCAAACTGATGCCGAGCAAAAACAACAGCCGGACGACGACAAGAAAGAGGTCATCGTCCCGTTGAAGTCTCTCAGTGCGCTAAATCTAGTGACCTTGATTTCAATTCTAATGACCATCGGCCTCTTCATCTGGGCGGGTATGATCCACGACGGCGTGGCCCTCGTCGCCCTCGCCGCCATGTCGTTGTCTACCAGCGCTGCCTGCCTATCTGCGCAATGGTATCCGAGGCTATCCACCCGTACGGCAAGAAACAAGGTAACGAAGGGGGATATTGTCATGAAGACGCGTAACGGGGCTTTTATTGTGGTCGAATGCCCCGAAGAGATAACGAGAGAGCTGTACGGGGGAGCAGAAAGCTGTCGCTACGTATTCAAGACTCGAGGCCACCAAGCACTTTTGGCTTGCAGCACGGTCCTTCTCATGGCGGCAATTATTCTCTTCAGTAACTGCGGATGGACGATGCAGATTGCCGTCGGCGTCGCATACATCATCCTGAATATCCTATACTTTGCCCTGGCCCTGCTGATGGATCCGGGGGAAATGTGGGACTTGAGCCGATATGACGTGAAGACTGTCAGAACGGCAAAGACGAAGAACTACACTAAAGCCTTGTGGGAGGCTATTCGGGAGACCGGAGAGATTGCATGGGTCCGAAAAGGAGGCCTGGCCCCGTCGACCGACGCATGGGATAGATGGTTAGATGAGGCCAAAGACAACTGCGGCGCAAATGCCGAGCTCTGGAATCCTGAAACGGCAAGGGACCGTCTGATGTCGCAGGCGTCTACCGAGGAGTCTGCTACGCCACTGGAGATGCAACCACGTGCCCCGCCACAAATGTCAGCTAGCAAGTGATGCTGGCCATGGGGGCTGTATGAATCTGCAGTGGGTACAGATCGATACAGACATTCTCATGATTGTTACCAGGATGAAGTATGAATTGTTGGAGATGAATGATTGACGTTACGATAGATATGCCTGTTAGCGTTTGCAGATTCATCACTAGAGTTTTTCTCTCGATTACGAGAAGCAGGGTATACAGCATAGCGGCTTAGACTGGGATATCTTCTACTAACTTGTTGCATTTGCTGGCTAGTTTCATGTTTGATATTTAACTAAGAACATACTACTGCACTAATACCAGATTAGCGTTCATGTTATTTAAAGCAATTGACTCATCTGAAGCATATGATTTTTTACTGAGAATGCTAGGAGCATCTGTCTTCCACACATACGTTTTCGCGGCGCAATCTGAACCTTACACGCCCATATCATATTTCTGCTTCGGTAACGATTACAAAACGAAAGTAAAGCGAGCCCGACGAACATACCATATCAAGCTTCCTAAATAATATTAAGCCTTACTTGATCGATAAATTGAAGGCTATATATCTCATACTGTAGACACTCGAATAGATACCGTACGGACCATACAGAAATATTACGCAAGCTACCCCAACAGCTACTCAATCTCAACTCAATCCCGTCGTCGACGATCATCCCTCCCCCAGACCTCATCCGCACTAGCCTTCCCCTTCGTCTCCGGAACACGCCAATAGATAAACCCACCGAGGAGACACGCCATACCCGTAAAGACCCAGTAGATCTTGCCACGGCCACCAAGGGCATCATTCAACATGGGGAAGAACTGCGCTACTACGAAAGTGGCGATCCAATTGGCAGCCAAGGCGCAGCTTTGCGCGGCGCCGACGGCTTCGGGGCCGACGAGCTCCGAGGCGAGGATGAATGGGACGGGGCCTAGGCCGACGGCGAAGCAGGAGACGAAGAGGAGGACGGCGATAGCGGAGAGGACCTTTTGGTTGAAGTAGATGGCTAGGGCTAGGAGCATGGAATTGAGACCCATGCCGGTGATGCTGAGGAGGAGGCAGGATCGACGGCCGATTTTGTCGGGGAGAGGAGAGCAGGCGAGGGTGATGATGAGGTTGATGGCGGAGATGATGACGGTGAGGAGGGCGGCGGTGGTGGGGAGGATGGTTTGTAAAAGGGAGACGCTGTACATGATGATGCTGTTGATGCCGGTGAATTGTTGGGCGACCATGACGCCGACAACGGCGATGATGGCTGGTCGGTAGGTTGGGTTAGTGATGGTGTGGAAGATGGTGACGGGGGGTTGCTTGGGTGGCATGTTGCCGGATGGTGGCGTGAGGAGCGATTGCTCTTCGCCGGAGATGTCATCTGTTGGTCCCGCTGTTGAGGATGGCCATCCCTCGATTTCCTCTTCGATGTCTGCGTCCTTTCCGCGCAGCCGTTGCAGGACTTGTCTGGCTAGACTGCTCTTCTGGTGCTCGGCGAGCCAGGTGGGGCTTTCTGGGACTAGGGTGAGACCGAGGAGCTGGAGGGCTCCGATGAAGCCGGCAATGGCGAGGATGCCTCGCCATTTGCTGCCCTCGCTTAGGAAGTATCCGAGGGACTGGGTTAATAGGATGCCGACGTTGGTCATGACCTGCGTGAAGGCACCAAAGAAACCTCTAGCGCTGGGTGGAGCGATTTCGGAAATGTAGATGGGGCCGACGACAATCGCAGCTCCTGCTCCAATGCCGGACAGCAGCCGGCCTAGACTTAGGAGGGGAATGTTGGATGCGCATGTTTCAGCCACGGGCCCCAGAATGAAGAATAGAGTGGTTGCTCGCAGAGCAAAGAGGCGACCATGTTTGGTGGCAACTGGCCCTGCCAGCAGGGCTCCCAAGAGTCCACCAAGGGTGTAGATTGACGACACCAGGCCGAATTGCGAAGCGTTCATGGGGATGCATTGTGGTAGAGAGAGTGCCTCGGTGGAGGAATGGATGCTCTTCCGCTCGCAGGTGATCACCGCCTGAGGGGCATTAAGTTCGGCCTGTCGGATAGTAAGTGTCAGTATGAGCCGGGGGAGGCGGTTGAGGTTGTAGTTGTGAAAAGGTTAGACCTTACCAGGTGATAACCGAATTGGAGTGGTCCTAATGTTGTGATAAACACGAGGTAGATCAAGTATGGCGTGACCCGAGATCGGATCGGCTCTGGAGAGACCATGATTGTGGTTGAGACGTTGTTGAGTACGAGGTGTCTCGATAATCCACAGAGCTCTCGGTCAGTAAATGGGGGATAGATCTGCTGTTACCCGGTCATTGCACCTGGATGAATGGAAGGGAATGGCAGTCAGTCGGAGAGGAGCAGCGTGTTGATGACGTTGCGGATGGGCGTCTATAATCGGGACAAGGAAACTCCGCGTTATCGGAGGGAATCCAGGGGGAGGAGTCTTATCAACAGGAGGGAGTGCAGTGGATGGCTTGCAGATGGTGTTTTTATAGATTGTTAAAGTACAGAGGACAGTAATTAATTATTGATATATGTCAATTGTAGAAACACAAGCCAGACAGGGTCCAGACATCCTACAAGTACAATTATTATTTTCTATCGTGTAAATGTTGATGGATTGATCAATTGATTGCTTGGATGAGGAGGGGAGGGCTCAGAGTGATGAGTCAGCCACTTTCCCTCCGATGCAGCCTCACTCTTTCCATTCACTCACTCACTCACTCTCTCTCTTTGGCGCCGGTTTTTGGCTTTTGGCTTTGCGGTGTTTCCCTCTTATTTGCCTTTTTGGCTTTAAATCCTTCTTGTTTTTTTCCCACTCCTCTCGGCGCGTGTTGGTCCGTCTCAACTCACTGACCATCTCTCCTCCTGCAGGCTTGCTGTTGGACCTTTTGTTGCTTTCCCCATAGTGGTGGAGATCAGTGTCTCCGCGTATGGTTCCCGGACTCCATCGCAGCGTTGCAGTTTCCACGGATAGCCTAAAAGTGCCCTCTCTTGACCTGACCACTTCCCCTAACGAACTAATCATCGTCTTTCCCTCTCCCTCACGGTCTCTAACTCTGACTCCCTTTTCCGGTCGCCTCCACCTCGTCCATGAGTCTGACAAACCCGCCTTCCTCGTCCGGCCCGTTAAGTACGACTTCCAGGCCCGCTGCGGCCACCGTCAGCCAAAGTCTGTCTCTAAAGAAGAGCCTGCAGGCTGCTGTTGATGGTAATACCGGTTACTGTTACTCTGCCTCTGCTTAGCTTGACTTGACGCTTTTCCTGTCTTTCCCCTTCCGAGCACCCTCTTTTCGCCCGTGTTGCCACTTTTTTTTTTTTTTTTCATATTTTATCTTACTATTATTGATCGCTGTCTGAACCCGCTCCGTCACCATGTACTTTGGTTGAACCTTGCGCTGCTGTCAGATCTACTACTACTATTTTATCTTTCCTTATATAATCGTTAAATGTCCTTGAACAGTCCCTGTCTCCACGCCTGTTAACGGCTGTTCTGTCTGTTCTTTTTCCATGATGTTTGGAAGGAGCTTCCCGTTCTATAATTCTCTCGGCGGGTTTTATCCACGTGGTAATGGCTTTCCCTCTCCAGACTAACCCGCCGTCTTTCGGCCGGTTATAGAGGTTGCAACAATCTCGCCTCATCCTTCTCATCCTCCTTTCCCCCATTAGCTTTCCCCTTTTCACCCCCTATTTCTTTTGGTCTCTCGGACTTTTTTTCACTCCCCCTTGATCCTTGCTCGTGGAATTTAATTGGCTGTTGAATTCTTACGTTGGTTGTGGACAAGTGCATAGTCTCCCTGCTGACACCCTATATCAAGAGAGTCTAGATGCGAGAAAGCCTCCCGGCTCTGGTTACACCAGCAAAGTACGTGTGCGCGATAGATACCACATTGTGGGATTTATCAGCAGTGGTACTTATGGCCGTGTCTACAAGGCCATTGGCAAAAATGGCCAGAAGGGGGAATTCGCGATCAAAAAGTTGGCATCCCACTCCTGGCATATCGGCTTCATCACATGACTTACCCGCTATAGGTTCAAGCCGGATAAAGAAGGCGAAATCATTCAGTATACCGGTCTTTCCCAATCGGCCATCCGAGAAATGGCCTTGTGCTCAGAATTGGACCATCCCAATGTAGTGCAGTTGGCCGAAATCATCCTGGAGGACAAGTGTATCTTCATGGTCTTTGAGTACACAGAGCATGATCTGCTCCAGATTATTCATCATCACACCCAACCGCAAAGGCATGCCATCCCGGCTTTGATGGTCAGATCGATCCTATTTCAGCTGCTCAATGGCTTACTGTATCTTCACACCAACTGGGTACTGCATCGGGACCTCAAACCAGCAAACATCTTGGTGACCTCAAGTGGTGCGATTCGCATTGGTGACTTGGGACTTGCCCGTCTCTTCTACAAACCTCTTAACTCTCTCTTCTCTGGAGACAAGGTTGTCGTCACCATCTGGTACCGTGCCCCTGAGCTCTTGATGGGGAGTCGACACTACACCCCTGCTGTTGACTTGTGGGCCGTCGGGTGCATTTTTGCGGAGCTGCTATCGCTCCGCCCCATTTTTAAAGGCGAGGAAGCCAAGATGGACAGTAAAAAGACGGTCCCATTCCAGCGCAACCAGATGATGAAGATAATCGAGATTATGGGGCTCCCAACCAAGGAGATCTGGCCTGGCATCGTGTCCATGCCAGAGTATTCGCAGCTGCAGTCATTGGCAATGTCACGTGCCCCGGGGCATTTCAACCGGTCGTCCAACCTAGAAGGCTGGTATCAGAGCTGCCTGAAGAACAACGGGTACTCCGCCAACTCGAGTGCTGGCACACCCGGGGCAGATGGGTTCGATCTGCTGTCACGCCTACTGGAATACGACCCGACGAAGAGGATCACCGCGCAAGAAGCTCTTGAACATCCCTACTTCAAGAACGGGGGTCCTATCTCCGCCAATTGCTTTGAAGGATTTGAGGGCAAATATCCTCATCGCCGGGTGACACAGGATGACAACGATATTCGCTCTGGTAGCTTGCCTGGCACGAAGCGCAGCGGACTGCCTGATGATAGTCTGTTGGGAAGGGCAACCAAGCGCTTGAAAGAGTGATGGTTTTTTTCTGTAAATGTATGCAGAATCTTTGGATGTACAAGGCGTTTAGGGCTGGGTGGCATTTTGTGCGGAAATCTAGATATGCATTTGGAACTGGCGTTTTTGTTCTATCTTGCAAATATGCTTATCTTCGTGCACAAAGCTAGAGAATAAGGAAATTCTGAACTAGCAAGCTTGTACTCAATGATATGAACTAAGTTCGAATATGTGACACGGTATCATATGTGTTCAATCTTGACATCCCCTGAATATGCCGATAATCTTAAAACTAAATGCAAATGACGCCCTCGTCGACCCATAGATAATAGTACCCTAATCCGATCCCAGTATACCTAACATCAACTAATCCCATGCAAACCATAACAAAATCAATATCCTAGAAGTAACCACCAAGTTAGCAAATCCACATCCAATCTCAAGGGGATAAAAGGACAAATACATACCACTCTGCTCCCTCCGACCACCTCCCTCCCCACCATCCCCATCATCATCACCACCACCACCACCACCCCCAGCAGCAGAAGACGCGGCATCCCGAATGGACTGCTCATCGCCCCTCAACTTCTCAAAATAGGACTTGATATCCTCCGCACTAACGGCCTTACCCGTCTCCGCAAACGGCTTTAGAAACTCCTTCACCTTATCGCGCAGATGGTTATACACCATTGCGCCCTCGATAGCACGCACTCGGTCAATGTTGCTCAGTGCTGCTTCGCCCCGGTCCAGAAGACTGCCTGTGCCCGTGCTGCCTCCCCCGTTGGGACCCTCGCCGTCGCCGTCTTCGGACATGGGCGGTTCGTAGGTCTCTTCTTCTTCGCGCAGTTGGGGGTGCGATGCTAGGTGTGGGTAGCAGTCGCGGCAGCGGCAGAAGTGGTCGCGGAAGTCGTCTTTCAGAAAGAGGGAGAAGGTGCGGGTTGGGGGGGTTGTGGGGAGGTGGGTGTGTTTGGGTGGGGAGGGTTCGGTGATGGTGGTAGGTTTTGCTTCGGTGGGTGTGGTGGTGGTTTTGTCGGTGTCTTGAGATGTGTCGGGTTTGGGTTCGGTGGTAGGGGTGGTCGTGTCGTTGTTTACGGGCTTGGGCTCTTCTGTAGGCTCCTCTTTTGGTCGCTTTGGAGCAGGATCGCTTTCTTCGTCGGCGCTGTCGTCGGCTTTGCGTTTCTTGGGGTTGCTGGGTTGCTCTGGTTCTGTGGTCTGGGGTGTTTGTTCTGTAGTGACGGGTTTAATTTCCTCTTCTGAGGGTTTGGCGAGTCCGCCTTCTTTGTATACTGGGGGTAGGAAGCCTGTCGTTCCTGCGTAGCGCTTTACCCAGGGATTGGAGTCGACACACTTGTAGCAGAGGAAGATCGCAAAGTCTTCTTCTGCGGGGAATCCGGGCGGTAGGGGAGTCTCTTCTTCCTCGTCATCGTCGGCTGCCTCTCCATCGGCAGTTCCGTCTTTCTTCGTACCCTTGTACCAGTCGCGCGGCAGGCCGATCAGGCATTCTGGGTGCCACCAGTCTTCACCACAACCCCCTGTCTCTACTGTGCCCAGACCCAAACACTGGAACATGGTACCGCGTTCCTTATGCGGGTCATAGTCCTCGCCGCATCCGCAAAACTTGTTCTGGAAGTTGTGGTTGTATTTGTTGCCTTGGTAAGGCTGTTCTGAGTGCACGCCTTTGGCGCCGGTCTTGGGATCGTTCCGAAGGGTGCATGGGGAGGTGGCGGGCATGCGGGTTGTTCCACAGTCGCATACAAAGTTCCGCTTGTTGAAGAGCTCGACGAGATCATGTTCGCCATGGCAGGAGATGGAGCATGAGTAGCACACGGCGGCGGGGGTATATGACTCTTCCGAGGTAGAGGGGTTGCAGGTAAGGCAGGCGAAGAGAGATTGGCGGAGGGGTCCTAAGTCTTGTGTACAAGTGTCGAATGACTTGTATAGATGTTAGTATGTTTTATACTTCTTCATCTTTCTCTTTTCAATACGTAGGTGAGGTAAGCTTACATATGGAAGGACTTCACGCGCATCGGCTTCAAGTCGAATCTGCGATTCAATGAATCTATAGAGGCATTAGTTGTCTGCGCAACAGATTCCCGATGTAATGCCAGTGCATGCGCGTTGTAGGTCGATGGATCCTCACTCTTTTGCGGTCTGCGAGTTTTGAGAGCTGAAGCTCTCGCGGCGCCCTGCGGTAGTTTGTCCGTTCAGTGCCTGTCCGGCATTGAGGGGTGGGTCGCCCGACTCGGTGTTGGCCATGTCTATCGAAGAACCGTCACGCGATACAGAAACAATCTCAATGAAAGTTCCTATTTAGAGAGATTGATCGGGGTTTGAAGAGTGAAGGATAGGTGATGGTTGCGCATACGGAGGAGGCTGAGCGGCGATGGTAACGCGCCGGCGCGCAACCGTAAAGTGTTTGCCGTGTTTGCACCTATGTGGTTGGTAATCTGCTCCAATTTCCCCAGGCTGAGACTTCTGATTGATGGTCTGAAAGGTTTCTTTCAAAAGTATAATAAACTAATTGATGGGATTCTGTATCTATTCTATATTGCAGGCTCTGGTGTTGATTGACGATGCTTTTAGTAGCTAAGTATAAGCGCAATTGGATTCCTTCTCGCTCCTGCAGAACCACCCCGCTGTAGTCTGTACATACCTCGGTGACAATTAAACTAGACCATGAGGAGTAATTCCAATATGAACTATTCTGCATGACGTACCAAGAGCTCCATTTTCCCACTGCCCAGAAGTCGAGTGTATCCACGAAGCATATTCTATTCCACTTTTCGTTGGGCTCAGAGCGGGTCGCATTTCCGAATCGGGGTTTAATTGAAAACGGACGCGTCGCTGGCGCGTCTCGGAGACGCGTTCGGCGCCAAGTCCAGGATCTTCTCAGCTTGTGGCCCTTCGAACTCCTGCGTTGCCCAACGGAAAAGAAAAAAAGACCCTCCGCACGGCTGTTTCTTCACCTTCCCTCAGTCTGCCCCTTCCACCTCCCCGCCTGTCAGACTGAACACCACACACAATGAGGTATGTAATGTCCTCGCCCATTGATTGACAATGTTGCTTGGAACTACCTCGTTTGGTTGCCCCTCAAAACACTCGGAATACTAATAATGTCTCCCCAGTTCACCACTCCGTCCCAGCAATTCTGCTGCAAACCGCGGCCTAGGGAACCTGGGTCGTCGTAAGAGATCCAGAGAGCCCGATGATGAGACCTCATCGGTTGTTCCCCCCTCGAGTCGTAAGTCATGGTATGGTGGATGGCTGGTTCCTGATACTAACGCTGGCAATAGCTCCCCCTTCTTCCCCTCCCATGCTTCCTTTCGACGACGATGACAACGAGCGCGATGAGGAAGCAGAGCTCCTGGGTGACATTGATGATATCGACGAGATGGCTGAAGACGAGGACGGAATCGATCTGTTTGGAGACAATTTCGAGAAAGATTACCGAAGCACAGCAGACGACCAGTACAGAGGAGAATACATCGACGATGACGGCGACCATGAGGAACTTGATGTCGCTACTCGTCGTCAACTCGAAGCCCGCATGAACAAGAGAGATCGAGAACTCGAACGTCGCCGTCGCATGCCTGCGGCTTTCTTGCAGGACGACGAAGATGGTGACATAGATCTCACTCGTCAACCCCGTCGCCGGAGACACCACTATGATGAAGACCGGGACGACGTCGAGATGGGTGATGATGCCATGGAGGAGCTCTCCCTGGAGGAGTTGACTGATGTCAAGGCTTCTAACCTTACGGACTGGGTTCTGCAGCCCCAAGTCCTTCGCTCCATCTACAGAGAATTCAAGTCCTTCCTGACAGAGTACACCGACCCTGCCGGTGCTTCGGTCTACGGAAACAAGATCAAGACCCTTGGTGAGGTCAACTCGGCTTCTCTTGAAGTTTCTTACGCCCATCTACTCGAAACCAAAGCGGCTCTTGCATACTTCCTTGCCAACGAGCCCACTGAGGTGCTGAAGGTCTTCGACCAAGTCGCGCTTGATGTCACTCTCTTCCACTACCCTCAATATCACGATATCCACAACGAAATTCATGTCCGCATTACCGATCTCCCTGTCTCCTATACCCTCCGTCAACTGCGCCAGTCCCACCTCAACTGCCTTATCCGCGTCAGCGGTGTCGTTACTCGCCGTACCGGTGTCTTCCCGCAACTCAAATATGTCATGTTCGTTTGTGGAAAGTGTAACATCACTCTTGGTCCCTTCCAACAGGAAGCCAGTGCGGAAGTCAAGATCTCGTACTGCCAGAACTGCCAGTCCAAGGGACCCTTCTCTGTGCACTCCGAGAAGACCGTTTACCGCAACTACCAGAAACTGACCCTCCAAGAATCTCCGGGCTCCGTCCCCGCCGGTCGTCTCCCCCGCCAGCGCGAGGTCGTCCTTCTCGCTGATCTCATCGATTCGGCCAAGCCAGGTGATGAAATCGAGGTGACGGGTATTTACCGGAACAGCTACGATGCGCAGCTCAACAACAAGAACGGCTTCCCTGTGTTCGCCACGATCATTGAGGCCAACCACGTTGTCAAGTCCCACGACCAGCTGGCTGGTTTCCACTTGACCGAAGAAGATGAGCGCGAGATCCGTGCACTGTCCAGGGACCCTGAGATTGTCGACAAGATCGTTCGCTCCGTTGCCCCTAGTATCTACGGCCATCTGGATGTCAAGACCGCCATCGCCCTCTCCCTCTTCGGTGGTGTCAGCAAAGAAGCCCAAGGCAAGATGTCCATTCGTGGAGATATCAACGTCCTCCTTCTGGGTGACCCTGGTACCGCCAAGTCCCAGTTCCTCAAGTACACCGAAAAGACTGCCCACAGAGCCGTTTTTGCTACCGGTCAAGGTGCCAGTGCCGTCGGTTTGACAGCCAGCGTCCGTCGCGATCCCCTCACCAGCGAATGGACCCTCGAAGGAGGAGCCCTTGTCCTTGCAGACCGCGGTACCTGCTTGATCGATGAGTTCGACAAGATGAACGACCAGGACCGTACCTCCATCCACGAAGCCATGGAACAACAGACCATCTCCATCTCCAAGGCCGGTATCGTGACCACCCTGCAGGCTCGCTGTGCCGTCGTTGCTGCCGCCAACCCCATCGGCGGCCGCTACAACAGCAGCGCACCCTTCTCCGAGAACGTCCAACTCACCGAACCTATTCTTTCGCGTTTCGACATTCTCTGCGTCGTCCGCGATCTGGTTGACCCAAGTGAGGATGAGCGTCTCGCCAACTTCGTCATCGAATCCCACCACCGCGCCAACCCCGCCCGTCCTCTCCGTGACCAAGACGGAAACCTGATCAACGCGGATGGACACCCCATTGACGAAGACGGCTACCGCATCGACAAGAAGACCAAGCAGCGCCTGCCCCTGACCGACGAGGAACTCGCTACCCGAGATGCTGAGAAGCAACGACGCGAAGACGAGAAGGACGGCGAAATCCCTCAAGAACTCCTCCGCAAATACATCCTCTACGCCCGTGAACGCTGCCACCCCAAGCTCTACCAGATTGACCAGGACAAGATCGCCCGTCTATTCGCCGACATGAGACGCGAATCTCTGGCCACCGGCGCTTACCCCATCACCGTATGCCTCCCTTCCTATCACTTTCAAATTACGTCCTGGGAGACAGGATAAGACTGACTAACAATCCATCCAGGTTCGTCACCTCGAAGCCATCATGCGTATCGCCGAATCTTTCTGCAAGATGCGTCTCTCAGAATACTGCTCCGCACAGGACATCGACCGTGCCATCGCTGTCACTGTCGATTCCTTCATCGGTAGCCAGAAAGTCAGCTGCAAGAAGGCTCTTTCCAGGGCGTTTGCCAAGTAGGTACCCGCCATTCATCAATGAAAGAATGTATACTAACAATCCATCTAATAGATACACACTCTCCCGCCCCAAGCCCCAATCCAAGCGGAGAGCAGGCATCCCCGCCCCTGATCCATTCAAGCCGCGCATGCAGTCTTCCACAAGAGCGCGGTAAGAACAAAAGTCTTACCAGCGTCTTGTTTAATCTTCGTACTTGGTTCCTGGTTTCGGTCATTAGGGGTTTTGCGTGGGGTTTCGCTTTTACTGGCAGCATTATGAATATGGGTTGATTGTGATCGTGATCATACGTATTATCACATATCACGTTTATGGGAGTTGAAGGTTGAAGGGTTCATTGGGGGGTTTTTATATCTTTACTTTATTTTCCATCATGATGTTAATCTATGTGATCATGTGTGTCTGTGTGTGTGTGGGTATGTCTGGGAATGAATGAGTCTCAATAATTCCCTTTGGTGGTGGTTGTTGTTGGATTTGGATTGTTTATTTAACTTGCTGCTACAGTGCTAGCTAGCTCGGATATACCTACCTAAGTAACTGAATTAAGTATTTATTGAGTAACTTTCTTATTTATTTTAGTTTTATTTTATTTTCGTATCATGCTATTAATAAAGAATGGGTATTTTCCGACTGCTAACGTGTGATGTTGATAAGTATTACTATCAGTACCGTGAGTCCGCCACCCATCATATAGTTCTAGTAGTACTAGTAAGTATACAGAAGGTGCCTTTCCCTAGAACAACGTAACAGCCATTGTGATACCAGTAGCTGTTATTATCTCATCAATACTCATGAACCGGTGTGTTAGATAGACCCTAGCAGTGTATAGTATTTTCTAATGGTTCGGTTTAACTAGTGTGTCATCGTTAGTATGCTGTATTCTTACAATAACTTAGAAGTTATAATGTATCATTACAAGCTTCAGCGTGACTGAAGAATCCGAAATATTTATTGATGATAGTGTTTATGATGTATATACCCTCTTGTGTTTTATCTCGGCCACCAGAGATCTCTGGTGGTGAAATGATCGTATTGAACCCGAAAAAGCCGTCTTTTGGATGGCATAACAACATGGGTGGTCGACCTGGGCGGGATGTCGAGTCGGTTGGGTAATGTGCTAAGTTGTAGTAATTGAGTGGATGAACTACATCATGGCTACGGTGATGTATAGATCCAAAAGGGCCCGCCAGTACAAGCATGGTAAAGTATGTATTCAGCTGAAAGACACATCGCCTTCAAACAGCCCTAGTAGCAAACAAGAGAAGCACAAAACAGCAAAGCCCAGCCGGTCCCAACACAGGTCCGAATTCCCATGCATACAAGAGTTAAATGCTCACTCAACGCCTTGTCCCTTCGCGTCCCATACACCGTGTGGTTTACCAGTAAATGAAACACCAACCACCCCTGTCACCGCCTCGCCAACCCATTTGCATTGGAGTCGAGTACGCCGCTTTATAGCGCGCTTAAACAATCGCTCTTCATGAGCCTTGAGCGATGCGTTGGAAATCCCAAGGTAACGCTGCAGACGATATAATTATCATATGTCGTTTACGCCAGCCTGCGATTCACGATGCTTTATCTCATCATATGCCTCATTTTGTCTATCTTCTATACGAGATAGACGCTAAAGGGAGTGCAAGAGGGATGCTTCCAGAGCGGTTTCCATCTCTTCGCACTTCCCTCGTCATCTGCGCCAAACACAAGCAACGGAGTTTAAGTACGGCCGTTGATTCAGTTCACTCAAATTATTCAGTCGTTGCTGATGCGCCGCTCAGGCCGGGGCTTTCTCAAACTCTTCATGCGGTTGATGAACCCGCCGCCGCCACCGCTGGGCTTGCCCTCATCTAAGCCAGTGTTGGAACGTTCGTTGGTGAACCTCCGCTCCAAACCAGTATTCTGCTTGGGGCTGCTGGAAGAACGGGCTCGTGTACCTGTGGTGCCACGTGATTCCTCGGACATGTTGATTTGGGCCCCCTTCTTGTCCCAAGCATCGTCATAATCCTGGAAGAAGGGGTTCTTCTCATTGGCGCGGATGGTTCCTATGTGACTAGAGCCAGTCGGCACACCTGGGGTGTAGGAGGACTCGGGAGAGACCACTCGGGGATTCGAGGGCTTGTTCATGCCCCGCAGTCTTTGGGCCAGACTCTTCTTGCGCTGCAAGCCTCCTCCACTGGGACCAGCTCCACCGTTCTCGTTCCCGCTTCCACGGCGCTGAATGTCTGCCCGGCTAGCGGGGGCACCATCCAAGAAAGTGCTAGTTCCCAGACCCATGCTCTCCGCTCCATGAACAGGTTCGATGCGAGTGGTTGGATCAAAGTTCGCGGTGTCGCTCTTGTTGTTACGGGGGTCAACGGCGGCGCTGGTAGAATAGTCATTGTAGCCTTCGTCCATGGTTCCGTGGAACAGGTTCAGATCAATGTTGGCATTGTTTGGCCCTGCGCCTCCAAGGGCCATGTTGGCAGAGTCCTTGGGGAACGCCTGCATGGGTGCAGTACGCAAGCCCTTGCGGTTACGGTTAGGATTGCAGGCATCGAACGGCCCATCGTGATGGAACACTACACAACCACTGTTAGCAAGCGCCTCTGCCAGGTCGCAATGGGCTCCAACTCACTTCCAGTGCCATAGATACTGGTCACGTCCAGTTTATCGATAATGTCCATGTGGTAGTTGGACTTTTTGGATGAACGAGGCTTTCCATCCTTCGACTCCTTGCCGTCCTTTCCATCTCTATGGCGAGCCTCCCGCTCCCGGCGTCGTCGCTCACGACGGCGTCTCTCGTCCTCGGTATCCACAAGCTTGGGGGTTCGTTCCATGATCGAGGACTCTGAGTTGCGACGAGGCCTCCGCTCTCTGTAGCCCGATCTTCCGCCACTGCTCGTCTTCGGGGGGTCGGCAAAGATGTCCAAGGTATCTTTGTCGCGACGTTCTGGGCGTTCCCTGGGCGGAGGTACGCGGTTCGTCGGGTATCCGTTGGGCGCGGGCTTGTCCGGGCGCGGCGGAGCTTGTCTGTAACCAGTGTTCTGGGGAGCAGGGTTTACGGAAAGGTTCTCCTATATCACGTAGTTCTAGGTCAGTCTGGCTGAGCGACGGTGGTCAGGGCTGCGAGGTGAGCATACAAAGAGTTCGCGAGTGTTCGACGTCATGTCCTGTCTCTCGACCGGGGAGACCATGGTTGACCCTATCACGGGGGCCGACTGCGGCGATAGGGTGTCGTCGTCAAAGGGATTCGTAGAGACTCGGCGTTCAGATTGACCACTGGCGGATGCGAAAGAGCTGGCGGAAGGCGACAGAGCACGATTCCGAAACGGATTGTTGGAGCCCAGATTGACAGGGGCTGGGCCGAAAGCTTGTTGGACAGGAGAGCCTGTAGTCGAGCGAACGATAGATCAAGGTTAGTTTTTTCTGATGCCTTTTCGCATGGGGAAGCACGGTCTGAAATAGAAAAGAAGGCGGCACAGGACAGATAACACTCTGACCAAGGGGAAGCCCCGCCAGAGGTGAAACGGCTGGGAGATAACAAAGAATCCTGGAAGGAGGACAGGACCAGGGGACAAAACAGGAATCAGCAAGATGACGCACCTGAGGGGCCCAGCGTCACGCCAGGTGGGTAGGCGTAGGTGGCAGGCTGTTGAGAGGCATACATGTTGCGAGTCCACGCAATGCGATATCGAGATGGGAGTAGGTTAGAGGAGATGATTGGGGAATAGAGAAAGACAGCATAAAAAGACAGGAGTAAGTGGATGATCAGGAGGCCGAGACTGTGAATGCAGACGCCAGACTAGAGAGAGCTTAGGCGTATGCTGAAACGACGATGCCGCGGGTGTCGGTCAGGGGCAAGGAGAAATAATTGGAGGGAGAGGGAGGGGACCGTTTAGTTTAGTTGGTACGTAGCGGCAAGTTGGACCGGTCTTTCAATTTAAGATTGCTTAATTCCACTTGAGGGGGGAAAAGAAGAAGAAGAAGGAAAGGCTTGAAAATTTCTCCGGATGAGATTAAAATGTTTGTTTGAACGAGGGAGGGATGGGTGGGGAAGGGAAGATGATTTGTAAAGAGAGAAGAGGGGAGTGAATTAACAAGGAGAAAAGAAGAGCGAGAGAGTAAATTAGTGTGAGGGAGAGGGAGAGGGAGAGAGAGAGAGGGAGGGAGGACGGGGGAGAAGATGGAGCGGAGGGAAAGAGGGAGACAGAGAAAGCCGAGGGTGGGTTTAGTTACCGTACGGGAGGAGTAACTTAGTAGTTAGTAGCAGTAGTAACTAAGTAACTTTAGCATCAAGTCATCAGTCTAGTTAAGTTTGGAGCAACGCACGGGAAAAAAAGGATAAAAAAGAGAGGAGAAAGAGGAGAGGAGCGAGGGAATGACGGGTGCCAATGAGGATCCAGAACCCCTTGGGGAAAATGATGGACGGAACCACTCGAGCTGCTGAAAAGAGGCAAAATGAAGGGCCCGAAAGAGGCGATCGTCGACGCGGCAAAAGGAGGAAAGGAAGAAAGAGAGAGAGAGAGAGAGAGAGAAAGAGGGAGGGGTGTGAGTGAAGGAATGACTGAATGGTCCAACCAAAGGAGATATTACTGAAAATGGAGTGGAGGTTTTTTATTTTTATTCTATTTAATTTTATCTTATTTTACTATTCGATCACTAGAATGAAATAGAAGATACTAGTAGTAATATAATACGGATATTATAAAAAAAAGGTATCAACACCTTCGATGGATACTACAAAATAATAAGAAAATAGAATAAGAAAGAAGAGAAAGAAAGGGCAAAGTTCATCTCAATCATCTCTGGTTGCCCAGGGATCAGTCAATCAATCATCAATCATCAGCCACCACCTTTTTCTTCCCTCCTGCCCACGCAAACTAATTGAGTCAATTTGACAGGCGACCCCAACTTTTCTCAGGGGTTGGTCCGTTCCTGTGCCTGAATTGTGGATTGATTTGCTTGGTTGTTGCTACTCCATATTAATCATCTCATCTCATCTCATCTCCCAGATCCTCCCTTATTTATTTATTTATTTTTTTTTCCTGCTTCTGCTCCTGCGACTGCTATCGATCTAATACTCCAAATACTACGCAGAACTATCCCCCGATCATATGTAGAATGGCAATGTACCTAGGCACAAACTAGACACAAAAGAAAAGCTGGGGTTCATGCGACTAGTAGGGATGCGGATGCAGGAAAAACACTTTGCAGCTCCATTCGATTGTTTTCCGGTCAGCAATCGGCCAACCAACCGAATAAACTAGTGACGAGCTTCGACTAGTAGATACTGCTGCCTGTACGTTTTGAGAGGAGAGACGGCACTAGACTAGATAGGAGGGAACCAAACGTTCTCATCTCCACAGGTTCCCTCTCGTGCCAGTCTTCACTGACTCCCCCTCCTCCCCGAGAATAGAAACAAACATTGGCTTCTGCAGGACACGACAGACCCAACAAACACACACCTTCTTCCTTCCACCACGTTCATCTGGACTCACCCATTATTGTTGCTGTCATCATTCTCTCGCATGGCTTAGACGTTTTGAGCCCTGATTTCAGTTCCCAAAACGGTACTGGAAAGTCTCAACAAACTCGTGCTCTTGCGTCAGCTCCTCCCTCAAGAATGCAAGCCCACCTGCTGCATCATCCATCCATTGTTATCCTTCCGATCGACACCGGCGGGCCTCCCACGATGAGGATGATCCCCCCCCCCTGGTCTTAGTCTTGGTCATGCTCATCCTCATCCATCTGCCGGTTAACCAGTTAACCAACCAGTTACCCAGTTAACTACCTACTTGATTCCAACTAGGCTGGGTTAATAATAATTATCGACTGTCTAACTAACTAATTAATGAACCAACAATCCATCCCACCGGCATCTTACTAATTCCATCCACCTCTTGGTTGTGCTGCGTGACCTGCCTTGGCCACCCATTTGATTCCTTACTTCCGCTCAATCCACCGTGTAAGTGAGGGTGGCTTGCGTATATAGGTTATAAATCCCGGAATCGCGCACTTTTTCCCCTTCCCTCGTTTTCCGGTCCGATCGCGTCCGGAATGCTGTCTTGTGTCTTGCCTTTCTGAGGCGGAGCAAGATGATGATGATGACGATGATGCAGCCATCCAGCCGGTGAGTTTTGCCTCGATCAAAACCGACGGAATACGACAGGTGGATATCGCCACGGTACCGATGGAGTCGCACTCTCACTCGTGGCGCGCCTCTCTGTTACTGTGCAGCCTGTTGGCCCGCCCACCAGCAGCACTGCCAGCATACGTAGTACTACCATTCCATTTTTTTTTTTTTTCGCATCAATCATATCCACCATAGAAAAGGACTGGAATATATCCGGACTCCGCCGGCACAGCTGTCCGATCATCCTAGTCTTCGACCAGATGTCCGACCTGCAGCATCATTCCATATTGCTTTTCTCAGCCCTGGCCCGATCGTCCCGCGCCGTCTGGCTCCGGTTTGTATCGGATTGACGGCTGCTGCTGGAACTACCACTACTATTGACTAGTTGATACTAGTATCAAGTACACCATGACATTGTGACTGGATGCATGTGTGTGGCACAGCTGTGACCCATAGTTTCGAAAGGCAGACAAAGTATTTTCAGGACATCTGAAGGGACAAATCTTGATTCCAATCAATGATGTGGTCTCGACCAGACCGTGTTGGGCCGGTTCGTAATGTCTTTCAGCTCCCTCTGCATCCGGTCTTGTTTTGACCTGCCTACTGGATCTCATAGTTAGCGGCCTGTCTGATCTAGGCTTATCGTTGGATCGACAAACAACGTCATCAAGCGGTTCAGTGTTACAAAGTACGGCAGCATGCATCGATAACCGGGCGAAGGTCTCGCTCTGGCCAAGCCAAAGAATGCTTAAGATGTCATCGAATTCCCGAACAGCCAAAAGGTGGGCGAGGATGGACCACCGTCCCCTCAGAGCTTATCTCCGATGTGTTTCATACCGCAATGTGGCTCGTTTGAACTCTGATGGATACTGTTCGAAGCCATTGAGATAGATCGAGAAGACCCTCCATCACCCAGGTGAAAAGATTATTTGGCGATCTGATTCCGGCGCCAGTCTCATATAAATCGCCCGATGGCGCTAATTTATCGTAACGGCTGTTTGACATTGAATGGCTGGGTCGGCGTCATCTAAATTCCGGTTTCAATTGACTAATGCTCCGTACAGCGACCAATTGACTGATTAACTAATTAGTAAAGCTTGCTTCTGGTTCTTAAGATATTCACCCAAAAAGTTACTAATGTAACCCATTGGCATTCTGCATATATAATGGGATTTTCTAGGTCAGTCTAGTGTTTTCTAGCAGCTTTAGCCTGCAGCTGGGGGTGGATAGAGAGAAGTAAAAAGGCAAATCGTGACTATTGCCCATTGTCTTTGCTCTGTGTACTGTAGACCCAAAAATGGCTTTCTTCTATTGATTCCTGCATCAGATTCCCATGTGGTTTGTAGTTACTGAAGATCAGTCCAATCGAAGAAGAATCTCATGGCCCTCAACCATAACTCGGACAGTAATTCTAGTGTCAAGCTACACTATGCAACAGGATGAAGAGCCAAACTGACGCCCAGTAACTGATTAGGATACGAAAGAGTAAAATGCCAGTAGAATCTCTGATTTGATTACAGTTCTTTTACATGTGACTGCTGGCCAGTACACCTAAGTGGGGAGGCACTAGTGGCTATAGAAGCCATCGAATATCAACCAAGATCAGATTGAATTGGAGCTTGCCGCGCCGGAGGTGAGCCTGTCTTGGCAACCTCCAACTGGTCGCGCGGTCTATCTGAATAGCTCCGACTCGTTGCAACCTACACACCACCAACATCTTTCTTGACTTCCAAGTCTCAGTCACCGACCCCCTCGGTCCTCTGGCTCGTTCGAGAGCATCGTCGTCGCGTCATGGAGCAGCCACCCCCAACCGATCAACCACAACAGCCTCCGCCTCCGACCCTCACAAACCCTCGCTTCACCCTCGAGCTAGAGTTTGTGTCTTCTCTCGCCAATCCCTACTACCTGTCCCACCTCGCCGTGACATATCCGAATCTGCTGGGCATAAACAAGTCCGGTGATGACAGCGACGTCAACAATGATTCTGCAGACCCCGACGCGCAGGCATTTGCAGCATACCTGGCCTACCTCTATTCCTACTGGAAGACCCCCGAATACGCCCAGTTCCTGACCCATCCCGGTGCCACTTTGCGGGCGCTACGACTACTGCAGGAGGAGAACTTCCGTCGCGACATCATTCGCCCCGACGTCATTGAAAGGCTAGCGGGGACCGATGTCGCCGCCGAACCCGTCGACACAGCTGCGGAGTCTGGAGACCAGGAGGGCGAACAAGCCAAAGCAAGCTAGGAAAATGCGCAGTGACACTGGAAGTAGCAGGAAACAGGCGTGCTGCACATTGGGCTCGACGTGGATTGGTTCAGTGGTTTGCCCGGGACGATGTCTTGCTCAAGCTCCAGCCACTGTCTTCTACTACTAGGCTGCGGAGAGGGGTAAAATTGAGACACAATATCAGAAGATCTGCACGGGGCATGGGCATGAGCAATCCTTGTCGATATTGGGACACCTTGATGCACCGCGGTTTATGCTGTAGTCCTAATGCAACCCCAGATGGTTCATGATCTCCCCGGAGTCATGTGTGACCGAGGTATCCCCTGATCGGCCCTGGAACCGGCTCATTATTGGAGCTACCAAATATGCACCTCGACAAGCACTCCTCAGGATCATCGACATACTCCTCTCTGTTTAGCTGGGATTTCCGAGCTATTCCGGTTGAGATTACTCGATGGAGTCCTGAGCGGGCCTGGCACCGATGTACGAGACGGAGGGAATATGCGCATCCAAGAGAGGAGTCAGGTGTACGACACGACAGGAAATGCCCCAAGCATCCAACATGTTCGTATTTTAAATGACTCTGTGATGCCCAGATACTTCGCTCCCAAGCCATAGGAGGAGCAGCATCTGTCCCTGATATTCTGCCTATGACGTTGCCGTGGGGTTGTATTAGGTTGCAGGGGAAAAACTCTCCCTAGGTACCTTGCTCTCTTGTAGATCGAGCATCTGAGCCAATACTGATAGACCAATTCGAATGAAAGAAGAATATATCAGATCATATGAGAGAAAGAGCCTACGTAGGAAACATCAAATACAAAGTCCATATCTTGGACAATTAAACTGGTATATGGGCAAGTTCTGCGACCGCCTAACCGTGACGCGGCCGAAGCGGCGCGCCAGGCTGAATTTCCCGAGCAGGTCGTTGGTTCATCTCGCCGCGGCAACCCAACACTAAACTTATCGCCATCCGCCAAAGAAACCGGAGGGCGACACTTTTCGCTTCTGCCTCGCTTGCCAACCTCCGCGGTTGACAGTGTTCCTCTTCTTCACTCAATCCCCCACCTCCTTGCTCAGGCTGGGTAACTACTAGTATCTCCGATGGATCAACCCCACCCGTGGTGATTGCAACTCGACCTGGAAGCCCTGTTCTCTCTCCTCTCCTTTCCTTTCCTTTCTCCTTAAACCACGTTGGCCGTTGCCGCAATCCCGTTCACCCCCAGTAAGGCCTTAGCGACGTGACACACCTTACTTCCTCATGGTCCTTTTCTGCTACAGATCCTTAATCAGTCCTTGAATATACTTGCCTCCAGGTGACCAAAACGGTCACCGGATCTGCACCCTGTTTTATTACAACCGTTGAAAATCTGCAGTATACAGTCATCGGGTAATCGCCCTGCAAATCACTTTGCCCCAATGGAGGGCGTACGCCAGTCATGTCGGCCAAAGCATCAGGTCTTGGTTCTGAAATGCTATCCACAATACCAGAAGGGGATTCCGGAAGTCAAGCCGAATCCGAGTGAACTTTCCTATCTGCTCTACTATGCGAGCACTCGTCGCAGCAAGCTGACCAAGGTTGGCGCTTTCCTGGAGAAACGGGCCGCTCGGGATGTCTGGCGCCGCAAGATAGGGTATGTTGTGAGGACTAGATACACTTGGGGGATCTCTTTGGATGACGGGCTGACATGTTCTGGTAAAGCAATGTACAGGTGACTCTTCAGATTCTCACCGCGCTTATCGAGAAAGTGCCCCGCGACCTCCCCATCTACGCCCGCTCCGTGCTGACGGTCATTGAGACCGTCCTACGCTCCCGTGATATAACAATCGTTGAAGACTCGATCGCGACCTTCGAAATGTTCTGCCGCCATCAGGATATGGCGGCGTTGTCGGCCGAACAGGACTTTGCGACACAATACCGCGAGGTTGTACGGACGTATGCGAGCTTCGCTGAGCTGCATTCGCCCCAGTTGGATCCTGCTTCTAGCGGCCCTGCGGCGATACGGTGGCGCAATGCGGGACTTCGTGCGATCAAGGGAGTGGTCAGCTCCGAGGCGGGCTTGGCTGCTGATGGCGGAGATTCGTTGAGGATCATATTGCCGGTCATTCTGGAGAACGTTTGCCATGGAGATGAGGATGTTATCCCGTCACTGGAACAGCAGCTTATGGAATCGGAGAAGAGCAGTGAAGCGGATCTTGCGCACCGGCGCCGAATTAGCAACGCTACCGTGCAGACTGTCGACACCGTGACTGGTGATCCGGCCTTGGCTTCTCAGTCCGCGGCGGATGCAGACAAGAAGGCGGAAATGGATGTGAGGCTGCTCGCTCTCAGCTGCCTTGAGCGCATTGTTGTTACTGGAAGCAGCCGCGGTCAAATCCGTGTGACCACGAAGGTTGTATTGGATTTCATGCTCCGCAGAAACCGAACCACCAGCTTGGGCTTGTCCTTAAACTCGCGTGATAGCTGGGCTACGTCGTTGATTGAACTGGTCGCGAAGTGGTGCCCGGTGCAGGTGCGGTTCATCATCTTGGTTGCCGCCATGGAGCTTCTATTCGATGTCAACCCTAGAGAGGAAACTCTGGATGAACCTTTCATCATCGTTTACATGATTGACTGGTTGCTGAAGTCTCCTGTGAACATGATCGGTCTTAGTGTCATCGATATTCTTCTGGGTCTTCTGCAGCATATGTCGTTCTTGCTGTCGCCTGCGGGTTCGGAGAAGCAAGTCGAGCTATCTGGCAAGAGAGCAGATTTGATCACTCTGTTCCAGCGGTGCATTGGAGACCTTACGACACACATCTACTATGGCGATCAAGTTGTTGATATGATTAGAGTTGTCCTGACTCGGATCAAGCCTTCATCCTCCCATGAACATCCTGCGCAGGTCCCCAACGATTCTCCCGGAGCCGCTTCGCAAGCTGGCAGTCTAACCGGGGAAGCCAGTTCCATCGCGTTTTCTTCCACCACTGGACGAGTTGCCGCTCTTAGAGCCATCAAGAACATTCTGATAGTAGCGAATTCCCGGAATCCCGCAGCTGTATCTGGCGTCGAGTCCAGGAACCATGTTGGGATCCACGTCTGGGAAGGGACGCAGTGGTTGTTGCAGGAACGTCAAGGTGATGCGCGTTACGCGTATGCTGATGCGTTACTGTCTTGGTTGAAGCTCGAAACGAATCAGAGCGACTTGACGGTCAAGGATAAGCACGCAAAACCTTCAATCCCCAAGGGGGAACTAACGGAAGTCGGTGAGAGGTCTGGAAAGCGATCAGTGTCTACGGCGATGCAGAGAGAGAAGGCTGCCATAGCAGCTCAATTCAACTTCCTCCGAATGCTCCACCTGACTATCTATGACATTGCGCTCGAGAGCCCGGCTAGCGTTTCTGAGATCAGGTTGCTTCATTTGATCTTGGCCAGCCTTGTTGATAAGCTCGGGGTCAACGCCGCCCGGTTTGGACTGCCTATGGTGATGAAGCTTCAAGATGACATGAACAGCGCACCAAGCCTGGCATCCGGTTCTGCCAAGGTCAATATCGGAAGCTTGGTGTATGGATATCTGTGGGCTTTGTCTGAGCGATTCGAATTGGGATCGACAGAGGTAGGCCAGGCCATTCAAGGAGAGATCTCCAAGAGGCAACAGCTTGGCCTTTGGCTTGACCCTATCCGCTTGCCCGCCGCTGATCTCGACCAAATCCTACAAGGTGGAGATCACCGTGCCACCGGTAACACCACGAACACTGATCAGATGACTCCCTTTATCACCGACGTTGAGCACCTTGTTCGTGACATCGAAGATGCATACAACCATGCCGCGCTCGTCTCTTCTCACAGCCCTCCGGGCTCCCCAACGCGCAGCTTCACTATGCCTATCCTGGGACATGGATCGGTTTCAGCTCCGCGCGGTGATCATCTTCCTCCACTTGTTAGGGAGCAGATGCTTTCGGCATGGTCCCGAGAATCATGCCTTGCAGCCGCGGAGCGGGAGAGGACCGAAGCATTGTCCCTCAATGGCTCCAAGGCCGGAACAATGGCAATGCGCAGTCACATTTACCTGAATGGCGCGGACGGCAGTTCGCCATCGACTAACTCGCCTCCATCTGCGCGGCAGAGTGCAGCCGGACTGCACAACTCGCGGCGGATGAGCGTCCCCGAATCTGCCCGGGGGCACGTTCAGAGCATTAGCAGGGAGTCCCCGGTTCATATCAACGACCTGCGTCGTGTTCTTTCCATCAACGATCAGGACAAGATGCGCCGGCTGAGCCCGCTACGTGGTCGACTGGATGCTTCCAACCGCAGCGTGGTCTCGTCTAGCAGCGAGAGCATGGTCAGCGGTTATTCCTTGTCCGAAATCGACGGAGATGGAGCTTCGATCAGGCCTCAGTCGACTAGAGATGGACACGGTCTTCCGGACGGCGACGGCATGGTGACCCCCAAAGCTTCCGCCTTAGGATACACGGAGAATGGCCAGGCCTACTACATGGCCGCAGACGATATCCCCCCTGTGCCACCGATTCCCCCGTCCTTGTCGGTCACCGGAGGCATGTCGAACGACTCGCAGCGATCCCTGGCCTCAGAGCGACCATCCACTGCACCAGGGCCGCGTCGGCTGCCAACAGCAAACGGCAAGCCCGGCACACCTGCCGCGCCTCACCACGGCAAGTCTCTCAGCAAGCACAAGAGCCGGTCCAGCACGGGTCTCGCAGCTGCAGCGGCTGATGGTGACTACTCAAGAGGCCATGTCTACGACGGGGTGCCAGACCTGTCCGAGCCAACGGACAGTGCTCAGCGCCGTGACGTGCAGAACCTTCTGAACGGGTTCTTGTCCCCAGCACATGCAGAATCACAGACGCGCCCCGGCAGGCCCCGTGGTGCTTCTCGACGGGGCATTACTGGAGGAATCGGCCGTCCGCCTTATTGATGATGTATCCTCCTTAGAAGAACCACAGTACTCTCCTTCATTCACTTTTCTTTTCCTATTTCGGACTATTGCATTTGCATTACTTACTTCCATCCATCCGGGTCTTCCACCAGGTTGTTCGAGTCATGATCGTCGAGGCCCATGATATATCCCATCTTTTTCATCTGCTTTTAACAACTTTCTTTTTCTTTTCTTCCTCTCTGAACATTCCATTCCCTGCGCCGAATACCTTGGCCACCGATTACCATCTAACATTTTTCTCCTTTGTTACTTACTACTACCACCACTTATATGTCTGTCTCACTACCTATTACCATGCGCATGCGTCAGTATGGATGATGCATTGTCTATTTTGCATGATCATAAAATAATGGCGTCTGCGATGGATTAAACTGACGGACTGTGATTGATTGATTGATAGAGCTGTACTGCGTACACTACTTGCTTGCTTGCTTGCTTATTTACTACATGCGGTATCTTGTTATCTGTTGTTATTGCTGGCTACTGTATCTTTTCCTTGATTTCATTTTTGGATATTACCTGCTGCTGCTTCTGCTGCGCTGCCAATTCATTTACTTGTTTCTCATTAGCTTAGCTTTGCTTTTCATGTCCGTTCCCAGTGGGCTCCTTTCTCTGGCTGTGATGATATCCCGATGTAAGCATATAATGGATTGCAGCTTAGTGTGTGTGTGTGCATTGCATGTATTTAATAGTACCATTGCATTAGTGCTACTAGTAGTAGTACTAGTAGTAGTGCTAGTAAAGTATAGAATACTAGAATTAGCGAAAGCGAAGAAGAAGAATTGAAGACAATCTGAACCAACTAACTGAACCAAGGCTTGAAACCGGGTATAATATATAATATTACTCCGTAGTAGCGCCGCAACTCTTACCCCCTCTACCATCATCATTTCAATCCCTCGAGAAAAGCAAAGCAAAGCGAAAGAAAGAATCAATGGTAACCTCCCTGACTCACTAACCTCACCCTCTCATCAATCTCGACGACCTCATCATCAGGAATCTCCACCTCGATGGGTCCCAAGAACTCTCTAAAGATGTCCAACAGGTCCTCCTCATCAAACTCCATATGCCCGCCCTTAAGTGTCCTGAACACCAACCCACCCCGTTCATCCAATTCCCTCAAGCCGATCCAATCCTCCTTGTAGATACTCCTCTCCCTGACACCCACCACACCCCCGGATTCTCCATCTACCTCCCCAAACCAACTCGATTCCTTTGGTACCACCATCCGATCGTTTTCGAACATGTACATGACGAATTTCTCCAATTTGCCCAGATTCTCCTTATACGTTTCATTCTTCACCACCCGCTCGTTGTTCACGTCCGCTAGGAAATTGCTATGCTTGAGGTACTCCTCCATTTCGCTGGGTTCGGGGTCCCGGAAATACTGCGCGGGGACGAGTCGGCCCTGGACGAAGGTTGACCATCGGCCTGAGCGGAGGAGGGCTTCCGCCCCCCGGCAGATGAAGTCGTTCCAGGCGCAGGATTGGAATTGAGAGATGCCGTTGTGTTGGCTGCCCAGGGTGATGAGCGTGCGGACGGGCGGAGCGTTGCAGCGTTCGATGTAGCCGCGCAGGAATTGTCCGCCTTGGGAGAAGCCCAGGGCGTTGATGGCCGGGGCGGTGGAGAGGATGGGGTCTTGGAGGAGTTGGGAGCAGACAGAGGCGATTTGTTCTGTGAGGTTGCCTAGGAAGGTTGCTTGGCGGTCGCCGGCGCTGCTTGGGGAGAGGTGGATTAGATAGGTGTAGGTTCCCGGGTTGGCGTCTTCGGCGACTTTGATTAGGTGTTGCAGCGAGGGGTTTTGGTATTGGTCGCCGAGACCGTGCCAGATTACGAGAGGGAGAGCGCGGAGTTCGGTTGTGGTGTTGGTTGTGGTTTGGAGTTGGTGGGTTGGATGGGCGGTTGTGAAGGGGAGGAGGGGCAGAAGGGTGAGGAGTGGTGATAGGGGACGCATTTTGTGGTCACGTTGTGAGATAAAGCTCAGTAGTTGTAGGTGGGAGGAAGATAAGATGAAGGTTGAGATGGATGTATAGTACTGGTGTTGGTGGTGTTGTTGTACCTGCGGAGATGCGGAGACAGGTGGAGGTCACGTTGTCGGGGCTTGCTTCCGGTGCCTGACGTAAGATTGGCATGTGACTGACGATTTAACGGGTCACCATGGAACTCATTATTATCTTGAGTGCTTTATAGCTACTCAAATCTCACCAATACTCAAAAGATAAATGTAGAGCAGTGACATGCTTATCACGCCGTGTAGTACAAGTGGGTCATTAGATGGTGTCCTGTTGAGTTAGGCTCATGTGCCTGGACCTAGTTGTATAAACTACGTCGATTGGTCCATTCTTGGGCGGGCCGATCCTCTGGGTGCCTCCAAGGAAACACCCGTTCTGGTCCTGCTGTTCTTAAAACTTGAAGAGGGATAGCGCATGCTTGATCAACGTATATTCTCGCGGCCCTTGGCGCTACGGTAGGCTTGCTGAGTTTGACCATACTATTCGGTGAAAATGCAAAGTCATCTGGTCGACGGAGATTTGTCTCCTTGAACGGATAGTTATCCGTTGATATATAACTGTTAGCTTCACGAAATCTGGTAGGAGAACATGTGAAGTCGTGTTGAGCCTGCTGTTTTCCGTGCTCAACTTGCTTAGCGAATAAAGCACCATCGAGTTCGACAGACTGGCCAAAGATTATCAGAGGGGATGTGGTCGGTTTTCTTGATAGAGGAGCGAGCCTTGTACTGCGTAATCTAGATTCACTGGGCACCTTATTAATCTGTCCCTTGTCTGTCCTTTCTAATATAACTCGTTGTATGTTGTGGCGAGGCTCTGGGAGCCAGCCATAACTGGAGTGATTCATTGTAGATGAAGTGCTCATGGAATCTTGCGCAGATATCTGCTGTCTACTGTCGTTTGCAGTTGGTGAATATGATTCAGGGTTCAAAAGGCTCTGAGAAAATTGATGGGCGGTTGAGTAACCGTCTCTTTCCAGGGATGTGCCATAGGCGGCCTTCATCCATTCCTCTTCGGCAAGAATCTGGTCATCTATCGTGAATCGTCGCCTGATCGGAGTCCCTGCTTCTTGAACCTTTGGGCTAGTGTCTGCTGACTGTAGAGGTTCTGAACCTGTAACCTGGAGCTGCTCCTTGCCAGTAGAATTGTTACCAAAATAATCCGAGTCCCGGACTATGGAATTTCCCCGGGTGGACAATCCTCTATCAGAGGACGACAGAGATATAAGTGAGATACTGGAAGAGTCTAGAATCCAAGACCTGTCACCGACTGAGCTCCTAACGCCGACGTTCTCACAGACATACTCATGCACAAGTGGCTTTGGCGTTGTGGGAGGGGACTCATGGTCCAGAAGCATTGACTGCGATGTAGCATCAGTTGGTGGGCCATGAAGACCCGGGTAGTTAGCTCCAACAGGTTGGCCATTTCTTCTTATGTCCAGGTCTTGTATGCTCTCCTCTGACTCTGCACTTCTGCGATGCTTGGGGCGGTAAGTAAGCTGTGGACGCAGGACAGAAGACCCCAGCCTCTCACGGTCATCATTCGTTATTTTTCTCCGCCTCCCAAATTTCTGTAAAGCTTCTACGGGAGGGAATAGCACCGTGAGTGGCCGTGCTGCTGCAACCGATGCCCAGTCGGTCTTCTCTAGCAGCTTATGCTTAATCCGTGATATTTCTTGAGCTTCTTGTGAGGACTCCTGTACAGTCGATACGAGACGTGGTTTCTTCGCGGGGTAGGAGGGAGAGGAACTATGACTAGACTTGATCGTAGCTTAGCATCAAGAATTAACGGATTCACGGACGTACTCTACCTGCTGGCTTGGATGATGTATTGACTTGCTGCATGGTTCTCTAGCTCGAATGCCTTCGAGGCAGATATTCTTGAATAGTGAAGTCGTCAGAGGGTCTTTCGTCTCTGCTATTCTTGACCTCTTGAAATTTTGCTTTCTGTTTCCTGTGTTATTGCTCGAGTGTCGTCGAAGACGACCTCCGGTCCAATTCATGTTGCGTTTAATTCTGCAAAGATGGCAAGATGACCTAGGCAATCTTCAACAGATACACGAGGGAAGGTATGAATTCCTCTGGCAGTGCAACGGCGTGCGGAACAAGCGTCATGTGATGTATGATCAATACACAGATAAGGTCAAAAAGCATCCACCTGTCAAGATTACGGTAGTATAATATCACTACGAGTGTGGTATTGATACCAAGGACCAGACCGCCAACACAACAATCAGCTACAACGGGAACTGGACACACAATTGAAATCAATGGTTATGCTTGTGACCTACGGAGCTGTCATAATTGTCAATTGTGCCTAAGCAGCTACGTTCGCAAAACGCGTTCATCGAGGTTTCGAGTGAGTGCGCGTATAGGAGCCGGAAGGAGGTCGTCAGGGTATCACAACGCATGCTCTGACGAGGCAGCATAATGTGTATAGCGACCCAGAGCACAGCTTTATGATTAGATTATGTGATCGTATTTGTGTGCAAGACAGATTTGACAACTTACCACATGAGGTATGGTGAAGTCCATCGACTAGCATCATTAGGACTCTCGTCTAAGCAAGACATCTGGAAACGGCTCGGCCCGGCAAACGACCCAGGTCACTACCGTAGAACTTGGGCGTCACTAATTTAGCTTCATCTTTGATCATCGGAACCTCGGCTTGAGTGGGGGTTGCAATCCGTGCAAACATATCACGTGCATGATTCGCTTCGGCGGATTTTAAAATATCTTCCCACATGCCAAATTCTTTTCCCTTTCTTCTTGACACCACGCAGACGACAACGGACACGCCAGAGGTGGCAAAGATGGTGCCTGCATCATCTTATTTGCTTGCTCGGAACCAGACATGAGGAGTTCATTGGCCTTGCTTTGATGTAGGCAGGTTTCTGAAACTGTTTCGTGTCAGCGACGCGACCAGCTGGCAGCCTCGTCGCACAGGGTTCCTGGCGAGGTCTGCGCGCCGTCTAGCTTTTCTTTTGTCTCTTTTCATTTTTTACGACTCCCCCTTTTCTGGGTCTTCCAGGCAACAGGTAAGCGCAGCACTTTTTTTCCTTCTACCCCTTTTCTACATGGGTGTCACTGGGGGCTATTTGCCCACAATGATGAACACCATACCAATAAGCATAGTTCACCTGAGATCTTCGGATTGTTGAACGAAAACTGTATACCATCTTTCACCTTTATCTGATATACACACACACCCATTGTTGCGTCATTGTCTGCTATTTAAATTGGAATACCGTTCGAGAACCAATCGCTGACATTGCATGCTTTAGGATGCCTAGAACTGAACGGTGCGGGAATATACGGCGTAGAACGGGATACCCATAATTTAGAATTTTAATTTGAGAGAGCGGGATTAATGAAATTGTGATGAATCCAATCCAACCCTGATTATTGAACTTCCAGCTTATTCTGAGACAAGCGTAAAAAGAAACTTCCCGGCAGTCCCGTAATTAAATCCATCACATTGCTGCCCAACTTCCCGTGGTGTCAAGTCTTGCTTGCGCCGGTGGATGAAGCTCGGAGTGCAGCTGTCAACTAATATCCGGAAGAAGGATGTGAGGTTCCTCATCATGAAACGTAGCAAACATGACAGTCAAACTGGATGGCACAACCCCTCCCCCTCCTTTTCTTTCGCAGCAAGCGGCGAGATTGGGCGAAGCGAGCCGCTGTGGCATGAAGCAACACGCTGTCCCGGGGAAGGAGGGGCAATTGTCAATTATGTGCAGTAGCTGCGACAAGCGAGATCCCTGTTCCGCGAGATGTAGGAGGGGATTGACGTGGTGGGCATCACAGCCAAAGGATGAAGCCAAAGTTGGCATCCTTTCACGAGGGAAAGCGGGGCCGCCGAGGAAATGCCGATGACTGGCTGGCAGGTACAGGGATAGCCCTGCACGCGACAAACCACGGGGAACGCTCAGGAAAGGCTCGGCGCCAATCATTTAGGATTGCCAATCCTGCCGGCTGAGGGGCTTTGCTGCCGGTGATGCAACACTGCAGCCCATCTTCCTCTTGGCCGCCAATCATACTCCTTGGATAGGTGGAGGACGGGTGAGGCCCGCCTCACCGCTAGATTGAGCAATTGCCCGGGTGGTGCCGTTGCCAAATAATACCTTTAGATACATCCACCCACCGGCCACGTCAAGCCCCTCCATGATGGGCGACTTCCGAGAATCATTGGCAGAGAGGGACCGGACAACACCACCTGGCGCTGCACCACTATCACCGCCATGTCTCGCAGCGCCAAATCATCATGCTCGATACGGCCAGTGAGGCAGCCGGCTGCAGCAAGCATGCACCTCCGGCACACGCTTGGACGCACTGTCTCCTCCGATAGCCCCCCACGCCTGGCCTCCTGAATGAGACTCCAGCCGGTTCCCTCGCCTCTAAAAGGCCGTCCTTTCCCCTCCAGATGGAATTCTTCTCGACCTTTCCTATTCTCCTCATCATCATCACACCAGACTCAAAGAAGAAATTCGACTTTGCCCACTCTTGATACCCAACGAACCCAAGATACCCCCTTTTACTTTCCATTGATCTTCTCTTACTCCACACACACACACACTCAACACTTCGAAAATACACACTACCCCTCCATACTACTTCTGCTAGATTTGTCACAGTCAAATCAGCTCTTGCCTACTACTATCCCATCATCTCCACTTGCTCTCAAGGCTTGAACAACTACTTGCTTGACTCTTTTGTTCTTTCTCTGTTTCTTCAAGTGTCCAATCCGTGGATCTTGGAAAAGAAAAGAAACTACTTGCCCTCCCCTCCTGGCTAGATCAACCCTTGAACTGCCCTTCTGGAAACCCAGTCCGTATCCTGGATAGGATTTGCTTGCTTTGTTTTGTTTTTCGCTCCTCCCAGGCTTTAGTCTGAGTATACGGCAACACAATAACAGGTAGTCCCCTCATCACTCTCCTTTCGTCTGCTTGCTTTGATTCTGCTTTTCTTTCTCTTGCTTTTGTCCCTTTCTGCGATTGTTTGCATTTCGAAACTCCTGGATCCGCTTTTATCGACAATCTTTGAACGACAGCAGCACTATAGAGGACCCCTGGACTCTTGAATCTCTTTGCTTCCGCTGGATTCTTCCGTCGAAGCGACGGTTTGACGAAAACATGTGACCATGGAATTCATTTGCTTGTCCACAGCAGCCGCTGTGTGACTGGACACTCTTGAGTGTTGTTTAATGTTGCACACTCAATATTCGATTACCCCTGGACTATCCTTTCTGCCTGGAACCACCGGATCTCTCCTCACTAAGCCTAGTGGGAGTTTGGACATTTGCCTTGGACCCCTTTTTTTTGTTGGCCTGTTTTCTCCGTTCCCGATTTGGATTTCCCACCGTTCTGGATTAGAAGCCGTCTCTGGAAATAGCAATCACACAATGAACTCCGACCTTGGATTTTTCGATCAAAACATCACTGGATCTCGACATTTAATGGACTGAACCGTTGATCAACTTATGTGTTGCATCTTATCACTTGATACCCCTTTGTAGTCTGGACCCCTGGATGGATACCTTAACCGAGACTAGACGACCCGATCTACTGCAGCTGCAGCTTTGACGCTGGAAACAAGCACCAAGGACATATTGCCGCTTTTGCCGATCGCTTTACTGGTTATTACAAATATATTCCTGGATTAACAACAGTGCCACCCCTTCTCATGGACCAAGCGGTAACCTTCCTGGATTGATCTACACGCGACATCCTCTTGGTTGGTGTGCCTCGACCTTGAAGCTTGCATGAATGATTTATCTGACTGATTATAGGCCCTTTTTACGCAACATGGATCCCAGATGCAGACCATCGTTCACTTTCTGTCATTGTTTCAACAGCGATTAGGTGTAGATGTACTGACTCTTAGTTACTTTCTAGTGCTTGCCATTTGTTTTCCAGCTTGTCTGGTATTAGAACACCCACACACAATGTCCACCAAGATCAAGAACGACCCAGAGAACATGTCTTTGTCCCAGTCATCTTTGCACACTATGGACCACTTGTCTCAGCCGAGACAAAACCAAATGATCCCAGGGATCCCCAACATGGCCTCCAGAGGAATCCAGGATGATGAACTTTCGAGCCAGGACAATTTCTCCTTGTGTTCAAGCACACACCCCAACCACGGGACCCCCAATGACTTGAAGGGGTGGTCTCTGAGCGACGTGGATGCACTTGACAGTGGTGCGATGTCCAAACCAGAGTCCCCGGAAGTCCAGATGCTCTCTTTCTCTTTCTCTCAGCAACTGCTGCCATCGACCGTTGGCCCTAGTGATGTAATGTATCATCACGCCGGATCCGATTTCTCAGGCATCCAGGATGTGACTGAACAGAATGACCTGGATTTCTCCCACGCACATGACTTCAACCACTACTCCTCATTGGTTGACCTCTCTGCCTTTGATAATGAAGTTTATGGCCAGAATGGTACCCAGTCCTCTTGCACTCCTGATGATACTCTCTCCAGCCACAGCTCTCATGCGGATGACGGCCACCTGGCCGGCAATGAGGCGTGGAACTCGATGAACTACCACGGATCATCCATGGATCAGTATACCACCGGCATGTTCCAATCAGTGCCTGTTTCTCCCCCTTTGTCTGACGCCAGTAATGATGTTTCTGTTACTTCCTCTTGCTCTGCCTCTGGATACCCCACCTTCATGAGCCATGAAGATGCCATGCTCAAAGATGTTACAACCACTCCCGTTGGAAGCCATGGAATCAATCTAGGAGACCCATTGTTCCCCCTCACTCCCCCCTTGAGTGAGCAGGACCCCAACAGGTTAGTATTTCTCTATCGCATTTGCAGCTGTGAACAGTCAATTCTGACCCCCAACAGAACCATTCGGGCAACCAAGAATGCACGTAGGCCAGCCCTGCAGACTTCCATGTCCCAGACCCAGGTCAAGCAGGATCCTGAATTTTTCCCACCCCTGCCCGTCAAGGAAACGCTCCGCCAGAAAGCCAAGGAGGGTTCTGATCTCCGGAACCCCCGGGATCACCCTTACTACTCCCTGCCCACTCACAGTGATGGAAAGTACTACTGCCCCTTTGCCAACGGAGAGAAGCCTTGCAACCACCCCCCGACTACTCAGAAGTGTGCCTATCAGTAAGTCAAACCCGCGGCGCTTCGATGAAGCATCGAAACTAATCGTGCAACAGCAAATACTTGGACTCCCACTTGAAGCCCTACCGCTGCAAGGTGGCCGCCTGCATGGATGCCCAGCTGCAGTTCTCTTCGAACGCATGCCTTTTCCGCCACGAGCGCGAAGCCCATGGATTCCACGGTCACGGAGATAACCCCCACCTGTGCCTGTTTGAGGGTTGTGACAGGTCGGTGCCCGGTTACGGATTCCCCCGCAGGTGGAATCTGTTCGACCACATGAGACGTGTGCACGACTTTGCCTCTTCGGACAGGCACAGCTCCCCGGATGCTTCCCCTACCACTGGACCGGCCAAGAAGAAGGAGACGGGCGGACGCAAGCGTAGAGTTGCTGGAGTCACCGGAGCCCCCACCATGAAGCGCACTCGTTCCACCCAGTCCCAGACCAACCCTCTCAAGGCTGCCCAGCAGACTTCTGCTCATCACAACCAGAGACTCCAGAATGCTGAGAGAAACTACTACAACTGCCGGTCCCGGCTGCTCGAGGAGCTCACCAACATCACGCCCCAGGATTCTTCCATGCATGAGAAGGTCAATGCCAGCCTTCAGGAGCTCATTACCCTTGGACTCAACTACCGCCACATTGAAGCCAGCCAGGCTGCGGCCCAGATCGCTCACGGTCTTCCTGCTTGAATGCTTTACTGCGACGATCATATGCAGTCTTATTTAAAATTTGTCTCCCCAGGCATCGCCGAGTGCTAGATGGTTCTCATAGGAAGGATCTCATGGTAACGGGAAAGAGCCGTGATGGATAGAAGTTTCATGGAAAGCGTCCGTGAAAGATCATTCTCTGACCATCTGTTGGATTTCTTATTTCATTCCGAAGGATCCTTGGCCTCCTGCAGCTGCCCGGAGAGCTCCCCGCTCCAGCCGCAATGTGTCCACGACGCATCTCGCGGCTTCACCCTCGGTGATGCGGATCTGATCCCTTCATCTAGAGGGGTATCTTCCAGACCATTACCGGACTCACCACGGTGTAGGTTGGTATGGTGGAAGCACTGATCGGGGACGACAGCTCTGGGCGGTCGGATAGGAGATGCCTCCTAAGTCCTTCATCATTGTCTTGTGACAGTTTACATTTCATGTACGCGCAGCTTGCTGCGCATGGTTCTGTAAAAACCTTTTGTTCAATTTCTGTGTATCTTCTTGCTTTTGGGCGTGGTTTTGCTTGCTACTTTTTCGGTATCGATGCGAAGCATCGACCTTCATCTCGGGCCTATGTTGGAAGAGGTCGACCAGAGAGAAGAAAAAAAAGGATGGGAACGGGGCGAATTGGAAATACAGGGACGATGGTTTTGTACATGGGTTTTTGGGATTTGGACATGGATATAGATGACGGGTTTTCATTCATGTATAGGTGCAGGTCGTGGAACAGGAGGCCTGCCATTATTTTATGTATTGGGAGTTCATATGTGCATTTGGTCCTGTGAATATTCTTTGTTTCTCTTGCACCTTTTTTTGTGGATTCTTCAATCCCCGCTTTGGATATAGCTTGACTACTTATATTTCTGAGGGTCACTGTCTTTGATTTTCTACTCAACTTCCCTACTAGCGGGGATCAAAAGTTTTGCTATTTTCTCTCTCTACTATCTATCTACCTTTGAACTTGATTTAAGCCGTAGATTCCAATCTTCTTTTGAAAGATACGACAAATACCCAGAATCGAGAAGCTCTTTCAATACAGACACTCGTCCATCATCAGTCATAACATACGTATGTCAAGTAGCCAGCCAGTAGGGCAGTAGCTAGACGTTATTTGCAGTAAGCTATAATGAAAATGACGCTCTCTAAATACTTGTAAAACACACGCTTCTATGGTGAACTTTTCCCACCCGTCTCTATCACATCACTGCAAACAAGCCTTCACCTTCACGACTCCCTTAAGGAGAGAACACACCCCGACTGAAATCAACACCTTCGTCACAAAAGCCAACCACAAAACAATAACAGGACCTTTAAAAGAATGCGATTACTCGCTCTCCGCCCCAAACTCCGCATTCAAGAACCTCACAAACGCATCCGGCACCTGCTCCGCTGTCAACCCGCCCTTACTCGATGCATGCGCCCCCTGCACATACGCCCGATTCAACGCAATCCACTGTCTTCTCAACCTCTGCAGTCTCGGCAATGCCAGGATGCCGCCCGCGCCGGCTAATTCATCCGTCGTGCCGGACGTGGCCACATGCGCCGGAACGTAAACGGGCATGGACGCCTCCGGGACGGGGATGCTTATTCCCCGGCCATTACCGCTGCTGTTGCTGCCGTCTTGGCACTGCGCGAGGGCGGCTTCAGCGGAGGGGTTGGAGAGTGTGAAGCTCCGGATGGCGGAGACGATGGCTGAGGTGCGCTTTTCCATGTTGTAGAGGGCTGTGGAGTCTGTTGCGGCGGGGAGGGCGGTTGCTTGGTGGGGTTTGATTTTGGGGCGGTTGGTGCGGAATGTCGAGGGAGTGTTTGCTGTGGTGGTGGTGCTTGCTGCTGAGGAGAGGCTGGTGTTGTTGAGGGCTGAGGTGAGGGTTGATACGGTGGTGTTGGGATCGGGGGTGGTTGTTGCTGAAGGGTGCGGGATGCCGGTTAGGGCTGTCCAGATTTCGGCAATTGGGGGAGAGGCATCGGTCCAGGGGACGGTGAAGAGGGGCTTGTCCCAGCGGCTATGGATGCTGGGTTCTTCGTAGCGGAAGATGAGGTTGTTGAGGAGTTCCGGGGGGTAGGGGTCTTCTTGGTCGGAGGTGGGTTCGGTGATGGATGGAGTCGCTTCGGCGTCAGGCTGGGGAGTGTTCTCGTTGTTATTGTCGTCTGTGTCTTTTTGACGGCGGAGTCGAGCCTCGTTGTTTGCGACGCATTGGTCGATGGGGGTGCCGACGTGGACCTGGTGGTGATTGTGTTAGTGCGCGTTGCTTGCTGGTTGTTGTTGAAGGACGATGAGGGAGGGCATAGCATAGCATACCACGCAACATGTTGTCCCTAGTGCCTTCGCCTCACACCACAGCTGATACCGGTATCCTTTGATGTAGTTCATTCCGTCGAGGATGACGAAACTGTCCTTGCCGAGGGCGCGCTTCGCCCGCGCATACGCCACGCCTCGGGTTTCCTTTTCTGTGCGGGCATGGTCGTAGACGGTTCGCGGGTGGGAGGGATCATGAGTAGGCACGACGTGGATTTTGTAGCGGGATTTCGTGGAGGGGAGAGCGCCGGTGTTGAAGAGTTCGGTTTGGGTTTCTTCGAGCTGCGTTGCGAGTTGGTTGGCGCGGTAGGTGAGGCCGGAGCAGGGATAACCGGTTAATACTATGAGCTGTGGTTGGTTAATGCGGATCTATTGCAAGATATTAAGGGAATGTACCGGCATGATGAGAGGGAAGGGGAGCGATCAGCTGTCAATGTCGGTTGCTGATGTTGCGCGGTGGATTTGCGGCGGAGAATGAATTGTAGGAAGTTATTTTTGCGCGGGGCGGCTCGGTGGGGTCCATGTGACTGACTCTGCTCTATACAGTTGGAACAAGCACAACATTGTCTACTACCAACATGCTCGCTCTGAAGCAGATATTGCCATGTCTATTTGCATTTTATCGCTAATATAATCAACTTTTATTGTAGGCGTATCTATTTGTCTACACGTCTCAAAGCGAGTCATGACTCATAAACTCATCCATTTCCTCCAACGCCAGTATGCTATTTCAACTCCTCCTCTGCCCAGCGAAGTTCATATCCAAAGACCGTCCTTCTCAAACGTTCATCCTAGAGTGTGTTAGCCAAATTGCCAGATTGCCAGTTGACCAGGTGGGGCAACTGCACTTACACCTGGGTCATTCTCGAACAACACCTCATCCATAAGCTTCTCGAATATCTTCGTTACTTGAAAGCCATTCTCCTCCGCCAGCGGGAAAAACTTTTCCGTCTTGGGCAACAGCCATGGCTCATATGGCGTGAAGATCACCAACGCCACGGCCTCCTTGGTCCGCTTCATGGTCTCCCGCATCGTCTTGATCAGATTCGGATGCTCGCGATGACTGTACACCACATCTGCCATGATAAGCACATCAAAGCCCGTCGCACCAGCGGGCAGGCACGCAAGCAGCGGCTCTACCGGGTTTCCCCATTTATATCCATCAACGTGGAGGGAGCCAGGGTTCGCGATCTGAGGCTCAGCCAACGAGGCATTGTAGCGCATGTTTTGGACAAGATCCAGGTCGGGGTAGTCGGTCATCACGGTGGTGCGGGCACCCAGTATGGCGCTGACGATACTCGGGACACCGGCGGCGGCACCGATTTCGAGGACATCCTTCCCCTCAATTAGTGTGCTGGCGCGTTCCTCGATGTAGTGGGAGCTGGTTCGGCCGGCGTTCCAGAGGAGGTTTCCCTAGAATGAGTGATTAATGAGTGAAACCGAGTGAAACATTAGGTACCAAGAGTGCCGTACGTAGAGAGGATGACTACCAACGAGGCGCACGCGCACTTTTTGGCCGGAGAGCATGTGATGCTCTGCAAAGGTGGGCTCGGGCTCGGGTTCATAGAAGCCCTCGGGGTCCTCGAACATGGCCGCCGTGTCGAAATTGTCTTCTTCCGCCATGGTGATCAGATGCGAGCCTAGCTCCAGCGGATGAGTAAATCGATCTGGTGAGGATGTGAATGTCGCATGATGGGCGATGGGGCGGTGATGCGCACCGAATAATGAATTCTCGAATGCGAATCTCAGGGTGGAGTCTTTTTTCGTGGTGGGGGAGTACCGTAAAGGGACTAGCGCGGAAGACTGAACCACCAGGGAATCACCTGACCTCACGTGTCATTCAGCCGAGGCATCGCCGCGTAATACGGTCACGGTACCTGCATCTCCCAGGCAAACCCCGCGTGGGGTCGGGCGGAGAGACCGCCTCGCATACCGGCCGGGTAATTATCGGCATTACCTTTTCGCGAAATTTTTGCTGGCCGAGGTTTGCTTTTCAAAAGCAATGCAACAGGAAGCTAAAGAAAAAAGATCAATCATTAGTAGTCACAATAGTCTGATAGTTTCAGCTCCTCGCGACGGGGGTTGTCGATCATCGTCAACTGAACTGATCTCCGCTTGACTAGTTCGATGATTATCCTTTTCCCCCCTCCCTCGCTAACTCTCAGTATATTATCGCCTGATTGACCTTGCGTCCCAAAAGTACGATCCCGACCAATTGATCGCGGCGCCCCGACTATCTGTGACTATCGCAACCGTCCCTCACTTTCCGGTTCAGCGTCATCCGTTCGTGGAAATTCCACTTATCAGCCTTTAGCCTTGCCGGACGTCATACCGCGGCCTTCTGGGACGAGCCCCACGTGTTGCTACTTTTCCTTTGCTGGCTGGCGCTTTTTCTTTCTTTCTCTTCTGCCGGCCTCTTTTCCTTCTTTCTTCTCCCCTCATCACGCCATCTTCTATACGCCAGCGATCAGGCTAAGGCGACTAACGACTCCACCGGATCAGTCCATTCCACCCCCGATACCCTCTCTACGCCTGGACTGCGTTCTCATCCCGCCAGCTGAGCCTAGCCTTTTGCTCCCTTGTCGCTCCCTCCCCATCGCGATCGCTGCCGCTCTCATAGACTTATCACATCGCTATCGTCCTTATCACCACCACCACCTCTCCTTCACCATAGATATATAGAGAACGCACCATGGACGGCTCCTCCCGCACTTTGACTCCCTTCAACCAACCTCAGTCCACCGCACACATCTCACCAGGGTATTCATCGCAACCTCAAAACACCCTGGGTCTCGCAGCCGCAGCCGCAGCCGCCGCAGTCAACAGCCAAACCGCCCAGATGCAGCTTCAATCTCAGGCTCCCACTGCCAACGCCAGCGAGCAACAAAACCTCACCGATCTTTCACAAACCTCTGCTGCTGCTGCAACGATGGGCCAGCCTGCGGCGGACACCTACCCCCACCAAGTCACTGGGTCGGGCGGTCCCACAGCGACAGCACCTTTCTTACGAGACTTCAGTCTGGTTGCAGAGGCAGCCAAGCGGGCACAAATGTCCGTGATGGTGCGAGATCTGGAGAGTGTCACGCTATAAATGGCATCAGCTGGGAGAAGGGCACCTCTGACATCATTGTTTATCTCGGGGTGGGAGCACGGGACCAATATGACTGATAGATTGGATCGGACCGTTGATGAGATAGAGGATATCTATCATCTCCATATATTTATTTTCTTTTTTGATTAGAGAGGAGTGCGTGGTGTATATTTGCGGTTCATTTATCTATGGGTGGGGTTGGGTGTTGTATCTCTTTTTGGATTCGTCTCTTCAGTCTGCTTTACGCCTCGGTTCACCTTCTACCTATCCACTACTCATCTCTTCTTTACAGGCTGATTTCTTTGCGTTGGGTGAACTGCAATTATTCTGATTGGCGAGCACATACACATCATATTATTTACTATTACTGTAGGTACAGGTACTTACTCCAATTCGTTCTAATTATTTCCACTTTGATTGGACACTACTACCAACACCACTTCTGTCTATTAATCTATCTAGTATCTACTCCAAATTAACTAATCTATTCTTCCTTTCGGGCTTAACGGTCGGCGGAAACCAAACCAAACCAAATCAGCCA